GAACAAAGGGGGAAGTCTGTGATCTTGCTGGTAACGGGGACTGGGAGAATCAGACTGATGAAAATGAGGGAATGAGATAGGGAGAATTCCAGTTCTTGAGAGAGAAGTTGATATTCTTAGAGATAGAATGTCCAAAAATCGATCCCCTCACCCACCGTATTAAATGCCATATTTATAGGCTACATGGTGGTGGGTGAGTGGTTGACTCATATGAGGGTACAGTGATGTGACTACTGACACACTAAGGGTTTAGGCCATGCTTCTACCTAGGACGTGTCAGAGACTTATGTAGGGCTATGTTTAGGGCCCTGATGTGACTACCCCTCGAGGAGTGAGGTGACGCTTTCCCATCCCTTTGGTCTGGCCCGCGCTATGCTCTTTCCACATGCGCGTGGCTTGTTCCGTGCTCGAGCTCCTCGCGCCGGGCCGTGGCGAACCGCACTGGGGGTCTTCAGTCGCGATGTGTTCCTTTGGCGCGGATAGGTCCGAGTCATATGCCCAACAATTGCCCCCCCATCAGGGGGTGTTCTGTGAATACCACCTGTTTAGCCTTCCGCTTGATTGACTCGGGCCTGCGTGCGCGCCGGTTGCTGTTGAAGTTGTCCTGAGTCGCGTTTGGTTGGCCTTTGTGCGCGCTTGCAGTTAGGCTTTTCCGCGGGATTTTGGTTTGTTGGGCGCGACACTTTGAGTCGAAGATGCGTTGCGCTGTTGTGCGCTGAGTCATGCGCAACTGATCACGCGCTTGTTTGACTTTTATGCGCTTTTGAAGCTGGGCTTTTCCGCAGCAGTTTTTTTTGTTTGTTGCGCGCGACGCTTTGGGTCGAAGATGCGCTGGGTTGTGGGTCGCGTGTGACGGTTGCGGTTGAAGTTGTACAGATCGCGCGACTGGAGTTGGGCTTGGGGGTGTGTTTTTTCTTCCTCGCGGGTGTGTCGTGCCCCCCAGGCGGTGCGCGGCACTTGTGACGTCGCCGACTAGTGCTTATGATGGCAGTTGTCCACGTGTCACCATGTGACTAGGCTACTTGGGCGGGGATTTTTTGAATTTCAAAAAGATTTGGTAGGATCTGACGATTACGAATCCCTATGCACTTTAACCCTTCGCATTCCCCTGGCCGACTTTAACCCTTCGTTTTCCCCTTGCCAACTATAAATATGGAATTGCTGTGGAGGGCTTAGGACTCACTTGTTTCTCTCGACTGTTGTCTATTTTCTCGATCGTTCCTTCTCTGAAATTTCTCTCCTCCTTCTACAACCTCAATTCTCCTTTTGCTGTTGCTAAAGTTCGATTACCATCATGGCTAGCATCAACAACAACGAGGCCGAGGTCGTGCAAGGCGAAGAAGGTAATTTCTCCCCTCTTTCGCACACTTCTACTGATCGTTCCGGTGATGGGGACGGCGGTTCTGGTGATGGGAACGACGGCGGTGGGGCTCCGACGACGCCGTCGTTCGACGCTGGGTCCGAGAATGAGGCCGGCGGTTCTTTCGACATGGGTGTGGTTGCCTCCGGGAGTGAGCAGGCGGTGCAAAGACCTCGGGGAGTTCTGATTATCCGACGTGATCAGGACAATAGGGCGGGGGCTGCTGATGAGGTAGCGCGCGAAGACTCCGGCGCGCAATCCGAGCCGCGCAATGTTGTGCGCGTGTCAGAGGTCGTGGCCCGATTGGGGCCACAAAGGGTTGGCGCCGCTTACACCGTGATAGAATGGGCCGAGATGTGGGGCGATCAACCAGCGCCCCATGACAACCTCAAGCGCGGGCCCGAGCACGCCTCTGTGTACGACGTCGACGATGTGGCGGAGATCGTGCGCGGGCTGGGCTTGCCCCCCCATTGGGAGTACGCTGCTCCTTCGGCGCGAAGCATGGTGGGCCATTGCCCCCCGGGGTGGTTCGGCGTATATACAGAGTACTGGGTGATGGGGTTCAAATTCCCCATCGACCCGTTATTGTGCGCTTTGTACAAGCGCCTTAACTGCTCCGTCGGGCGGCTCTCCCCGTCGGTCATCATGCACGCGAGTTGTCTCCGCCTCGCGTGCAAAAGGCTCAATATCGAGCCGACTTATGGCTTGTTCAGGAAGATGTATAAAATCAAGGAGCCAACGTCAAGGAGCGATTGCCTTTCCATCAAGCGTCGCGACAACCGCCCCAACGGCTTTGTGTACGGATCGCCCAAGTTGAAGAAAACTTGGTTCGAGCGATTCTTCTATGTCAAGCCCACTCCCGGGGAATGGGCGAGCGAGGTCATGGAGGAACCCACCTCCTGGAAGAAGGGCAGAACGCTTGGGTTTGAGTCGGATGCCGGCAACTACGACGGGCTCAACGCTGAATACGAGGCGTGCATGCCTCATCGGATTAACTTATACGCGGAGGGGGTCCGCGAGGCTTGCTTGGAGGAGCTGTTTGGCGATGGTTAGTTATAATTTTTTTCTTTTGCATTCTATCTTATTAACCGCTCTCTTACGATTTATTGGCGCAGGTGTTGATTTTTCCAGCCTCGTCAGCATGATGTCGGTGGACGACGTCGCACCGCGCGCTGACAAGAAGAAGAAGAAGACTGGCGCGGCGCCCAGGACTTCCAAGCGGAAGGAAATCGAGCAGCCGCAGGCTCAAGCCGTCGAGAAGCCCTTAAGGTGGCTCGTTTGGCGGAGGCAACTGATCGGGCGGCGCAACAACCGTCGTCTGCTGCGCGACAGTTGGCACTGGCGCTTTCGGAGCCAGAGGCGCCGATAAATAAGTCCTGTCGTCGCGAGAGAGAGATGGCTCGGAGCTCGTCGGGAGCCACCGTCCAGCAAAGGTTGCCAGAGATGGCTGGATTCGGGGGGACTCCTGTTAATGCCACTCCCGCTACCGCTACTGCCGCTCCCACTACCGCTGCTCCCGCTACCGCGGGCGTCAACTACTTCCGCGATGTGCGGATTCACACCGGGGCGGCCTGCAATTTGGCGTCCGCAAATACCGCCCTCCGGGCGCTCGGGCCCGTCCTCAGCATTCCGCCGAGATTGGAGAAATCCGATCCTCTTCATGACCTGGCTCAGGTCCACTTCGCGGTAAGATCAGGTTGAATTCTCGCGAGTCTTTTTGTTTTACTGTTATATGCAATATTTTGCTAAGTCTTTTGGCGTTGTGACTATAGGGGTTGCTGGCAACCTTCCGGGCTCAGCAAGAGCGCGCCTCACAGCGCGCGAAGATGAAGGCCGACGAGGCGAAGATTGTCCAGCTGGAGGGGAAGGTCCTCGGGGCGAATAATTGTGCCGACATGGCAACTGATAAGGCTAACGAGGCGCTGGAGGAGCTCGGCGTTTTGCAGAGCAAATTAGCCGCCGACGTGGAGGCGGCTAAGGAGAAGGTGCGGAGCGAGGAGCGTTCCACCATCCGGGGACAGCTGGAAGCCTCGTTTGCCGAGAAGATGAGGCAAGCTCGCGAAGAGCTTCAGAAGGAGAAGGACGACCTGGTCCGCCTTCATAACGTCGCGAAAGCCGAAGCTGTGCGCGCGGCCGAGGCTGCGGCTATCCGCCAATTCAAGTCTTCTCCTTCTTTCGGGAAGATCTTGGCGGACGCCATGACCAAGGCCGTTATCGCGGTCGGGAAGAAGGTGCGTCCGGAGAACCCCGGGGTTCGCTGGGACACTCGCGAGATGGTCAATCATGTGAAGATGTGGATAGGCGAGAAGCGGCCTTTGGAGTCCGATGGAGCGTTTTCCTAGGTGGATTAGGGCGGTATTGCGGGGACAGGTGTTGCTCCAGGAAGCTGAGGTCCGCTCTGCCTGACAACTCTCCCTGTTGCTCCTCATACGCAGGGAGCTCGGGCGGATGGTGCTGTGGTAGCGGGGCGGTCCCTGACGCCTCACCAGGTGCTTGTTGTGGTGCGCTTGGCATCGCCTCTACCGCTGTCGCGGCTTCCTTGTTCATCATGAGCGCTATAACTTGACTCATCTGCTTTTGCATGTCAGCTATGACGTCGTTCTGCTTCGCCATTAGCTGTCTCATTTCATTGGCGGTCAACTCGGGCTCTTCTTACTCGATAAGCACCGCGTTGAGATCGCTGGTTTCCGCGAACGCTCTCGGGTTGGTCATCGCTTTGATGGGCGTCGCTTCGTCAGGTAAGTTGGGGTTATGGTCTGCCATAAGTATGTTTTCCTTTGCTTCTCTGCTTGGCCCCACGGTGGGCGCCAATTGTTTGAACCTAACTGAGTGTAGGAGTGAGGTTCAGGGAATGATGTGGGTCAAGAAGAGAGAACAAAGGGGGAAGTCTGTGATCTTGCTGGTAACGGGGACTGGGAGAATCAGACTGATGAAAATGAGGGAATGAGATAGGGAGAATTCCAGTTCTTGAGAGAGAAGTTGATATTCTTAGAGATAGAATGTCCAAAAATCGATCCCCTCACCCACCGTAGTAAATGTCATATTTATAGGCTACATGGTGGTGGGTGAGTGGTTGACTCATATGAGGGTACAGTGATGTGACTACTGACACACTAAGGGTTTAGGCCATGCTTCTACCTAGGACGTGTCAGAGACTTATGTAGAAATATGTTTAGGGCCCTGATGTGACTACCCATCGAGGAGTGAGGTGACGCTTTCCCATCCCTTTGGTCTGGCCCGCGCTATGCTCTTTGGCCCGCGCTATGCTCTTTCCACATGCGCGTGGCTTGTTCCGCGCTCGAGCTCCTCGCGCCGGGCCGTGGCGAACCGCACTGGGGGTCTTCAGTCGCGATGTGTTCCTTTGGCGCGGATAGGTCCGAGTCATATGCCCAACAATAAGGATTCGAAACTCCTGGATGGTGGAATCCCAAGGCCAAATGGACTTGCCCACCCGAGTCTCAATCGACGAGGCCTGACGAACATAATTTGTTACAAATAAAATTATGTCAAACTTATTTGTAAAATCTCTGTTCGATTTAGTTCATTGACAAAAATTGCGTTAGAAAAGTAAAAAAGAATTTCGGGTAAGCCCTACTTTTATCAATAATACTTTCTACTTCTCAAAGCATTTGATTTTTGTCATTAAGATTGTTTGTAGAACTATAATTACACTCGAATGTACCAAAAATGATGAGGAATAAGGATACGTTCGGTTCAATTGTGAATTACACACTCCCAATTACACTTACTAACCCACTTTTAAGCAAGGAGCGAAAAACCATATCATACCAATAGTTCAATCGATAAACCTTCTAACGGAGTTTAAATATGCTACAACTGATTTTTCCGGTAAGGAACCAATGACGAGAGCTATTTTGCCACTTGATCCGACTTAGTTTGTGAAGAATGTATGCATTTTAGTAAGAATGATGTATTATTCGTTCCATCATATGGGTGTGATTACCAAAAGGGTTTCTCCAGTTACTGTTCCGAGCTAAGTAAAAACAAGGCGGAAAGAGAGCAACTATTGAAACATGGCCATGAATTTCTTCAGGTGCGACTTGGCTTCCTGGTTCTTTTCAACCTCGTATAGATGAAGCAGCTCTTCTTTATACCCAACATCCGCCCACTGCAACGCAGAAACACGGCAGGCCAGTTTCCCGATCTCCACGAGGCACTCCGATGCAGCAATGTGAACCTTCGAAAAGAGAACCAAAGTCCACAAAACACCTCCATTGTTAGCTATATTTCATATGCCCTGGGGAAAGGGACAAGATGCCACCTCTTTGAAATCCGTAGAAATTGAACGAGAAAGCATTCATGGAGTGAGTACCTGACCAATCTTTACAGTAGCTATGGATTCAACTACCTTTGGTGATAAGGAAACAAACAGCTGTGGAATGAGGGGGAGATAGAGCAGTTAGTCAAGTTTCACGAGGACATCGTCGATGATTGATATTGAACAAAAGCACCATGGGATGGAATTGGAAACTACCTCCTTAATCAATGAGTTGACGCTGTCGTGCTGAGATGGATGGCCAGAGTTCTCATTTAAGACGCTGTCGAACCTTGAGCATAATTCCTTCACTAGTGAATATGCCGCCATTTTAACTGCCATAACAACAAAATAGTAAGAGAAAAAAGAGAAACAAGAACAGGACTAAGGGAACGTATGTGAGGGAGCAGAGCAGTGTTTATAAGATACCTATCCACTGAAACCCCGGTGCAAAGGAAACCAAGAGCACTTGCATCAAATTCTCTCTGTGTTGAAGAACATCGTCAACCTTTGCAACGTGAACGGCAGACATGATGCAACTCAGGACTTTTTCCACTGGAGCATTGGACTCCTCATCGTCAGCTGGCTCTGCATGCAGGGAAATACTTGATCAGATAAAAGATGTGTTTGTTTTTACTAAAAGATTAAGTGGCGTAAAAGAAAGGGTTTATTTGAAGGCTAAAAGCCTAAAACACAAATACTCCTTCGACATAAATTTTTAAACACCTATTCACTCTAACCCAAGAGATTATTTGAGTTTAAAAACACCTACTTCACCAATGAACTCGAAAGGCACAACTAGTCGTCCAGTAATCATCAACTGTTGTCTGAACGCTATAACTCAGACTCGGTCCATGCTTATATTGAGTTCTAAAACTATCAACTTCCAAATGCAACCTTATGCTAATATAAAATCAACAAAGGTAGTGATGTGATATTGTGCTCTGTTGAGAACGAAAACCCAGGGTAGTAGAAAAACCTGCTTTAGCAGCCTGATTTATCTTAGGTGGAGGAGCTGATTTATTGGCAGCACCTGAGCTGCACATCCCAGACAATATCGGGAAAATGACATTGAAGAACTCTGGATAACCAAAGGCTTTTATGACCTGAAATCACAGAAAAGAAGAGGTTTCAAATGCTTCCTGATGATACAACTTAAATCAACACTTCCAAGAAGTAAAGAGCCACAACTCCAACATCATAAAAATCACAGACAAATTGCTTAAGAAATCACTTTAGTACTCTGACTGCATTTAGGTCAGGAAAGTCTCTTGTTGATTTTTCACAAATTAGAGTCTTTCCAGTTTCACCTCGGCCACTAAATTTTACATTCAGGTTGCATTTGGATTCTTAATTAGGTTAAGTTTCACCTGGTCATATAGGCCAGTGAACTACACATTTAGTTCCACATAGGACACAAGATTCTTGTGTTTCTAATTTATTCTAGGTCATTGAAAATCCATTTTGGGCCAAACAGATCACAGCATAATTTATACTAATTAGCTTCAAAGTAAAATCTGAAAGGTGAAAGACTTGATGAAAGATGATGGTAACGAAAATTCTAAAATGAATTTAAACTGGATCTATGATCACATTTTACAGTGTGTTCTAATTCGCTAAAGATTAAAACTAACGGAAACCTAGTCAAACTGGTTTGATTCTGACTGTAGTCAAGAAAAGCTGAGTTAATTTTATTGTTTGCATTCAGCCTATGCCGTTCAAAATTTTTACTACGATATTCGATTTCTATGATTCCTAACAAATTCATAAACCAAGTCCTTCATCCACTTAATCCCCCTATTAAATTTTTTATCCAAAACTGAAGTGCACTCGTCCTTGGTTACCGCACCCTTGCGACTCGCATGGCATGCTGGAATCCTCTTTTTCTTTCAAATCAATCTAGTCTAGTTAAGCTGCAAGAAACAAAGTGAGTCCATAGGTAATGACAGGGAAGGAGGGTGTTGGGAGTAGGATTGAATGGGGGAAAGGAATGTCCAGAATACTAGGCAAGTGAGTAAACAAGGATGTGTTAACCAGGGATGAGGGAACCCCACTAATTACATATTTGGATGGATTTGGACTAACTACTAGAAAGGGATAAAATACATAGCTGATAAATGTGTTTATGAACAATCTTCATAAAAGAACGAATAGTTAAGATAAGGAGTCGATCCACATCCCAAATATGTATCAAAATCTACACAGCTAAAGTTAAATCCCAGAAGATCCCCACATGCTAAACCTGTTGAGGGTCCCCAAGCACTACTGTGTCTAAAGAAATAAAGAACTTCAGTGAAATTTGCTGCAGGAATATTACAAGGTACCTGGTCAAGTGACGAGAATGCAGCTTCACGGTATTTCTTCGATTTTTTAGTGCATGCAGAAGATACAATAAGAAGAATGTCATTTGCTGTCGCGGGATTTTCAGAGGAAATTGCATTGTGGCAAGAGGTACAAAGTGCACCAAGGGCATCGAGAAGAGCATCCTTCCCCTGTTAGGTAACATAGAGCCATTAAAGCAAAGTATCACGCTTATGTAATCATCTACAGGTACATTCACTCATATAATAATATGTCAAAGGACTATGAGCACTAACTAACCAATAGAGAACGTTATTCATATGACCACATGCACAGCACAGAGAACAGCTTCTTTTCTTTAGAGCAAAAAAATCAAGCTATTAAGATTAGATTATACCTCCCAGATACGACCAGGAAGCTCTTTCATAAGAGATTCAAGTAGAATGCGTTGATGAGAAGACAATAATTCACCCAAGACTTCAGTAAGCTTCACAATTGCTTGGGCAGACTGCATAACCAACAACAATTGTATATCAAAGTAACATTAAGAAGTCGCAAAAATAACTGCAAGGATAACTGAACAAATATAGAAATTACCTTTCGTTTACTTGACCATGATGATGATACAAGCCCCTCACTGACAAGAGAAAGGATCTCTTCCAAATACAGTTGGAGGGTTACACGTTCCCCACTAGTGGTGTCCTCCCACAATTCCTCATATATTCCAGAAATCTGCTTGTCGTCCTCAAATCTGGATAGTCATAAATAGCATAAGAATTTCTTCTTTTTCCCCCCTTTTGATAAGGAAATGGACGAGAACATAATTGCTTGATCATTAAACTAGGACAATTACAACAACAAAAAAAGATCAAGAAGGTCATTTAAATGCCAAGAGCAGTAAGTCGACAGATACTGAATTCTGTTATTATGATTTATGAAAACTATAAACTTGTCAACCTACCGGCTACCAGAACGGGAAAATGAAGGAATGCGCAAAGGTTAACATGTCCGCGTTCCTTAAATATATACAATTAGCCCCAAGGTTCGAGTTCGGCTAAAAATGTTTTGACCGCCACATTACCAGTAGGACTACAGCTTGCGGAATGTGTCCATATATAGTTGAAGCAAAAGAATCTATACACCTTCAAGGCCTTGAAAGTATGAATATCAATTACCTTGAAATGAAAATGATAGGAACCACAGTTGCATGGTATCCACTCATAACATCAGATGCCCCAGACAAAAAGCTCTTCAACAGAACAGCACAAGAGATTTGTGCATTTTTATCACCAACATGCAAAGCAACTGTGTCTTCAATTAACTTTTGGGCCTCAGAAGAACCTGAATGTTTCAAAACAGCAGCACAAGCATTTGCAAATGCACGCTTTGCAGCAACACTTCTCTCCGCCTGAACAGCTGGAAACAACGGCCTCAATAACATGCCCGTGAATGGCTTTATCTCTGCACCAACTTTGGGAACTAATAGGCTGATGAAGTTGGCTACACCAACCCTGCAGACAAAGTATCAGAATTATTGATGGTACTTTCATCGATCAAAAAAATAACTAAAGAGTATATATATTACTTAAGAAGGAGCATATGTAAGAAATATAAATTACTAAAGCAGGAGGATATGTATATATTAAGCTTCACTACTAACTAATTCAACCAAGATTCTTACTGCACATGTCACAAGACTCTAAAAGAAGAGGGGGAAAGGGCGGGGGTGCTAACAAATATAGCACATTCGGGGTGGCTTTAGCCTAAGTGTGCTGTATTTGTAAAACCATTATTCGCTTTAGAGCATTCATGGAGAATTGTGCTAAATAGATGTGTGTGTGTGTGTTGGGGGGGGGGGGGGGGGGGGGGGGGGCATCTGTTCAATTTCGACCTGCCATGTCTTTCAGCTCACTTTCTTTCGGTACATTAAAAATTAACTGTACTTTTTTGAAATATAATCAACTGCATCAACAACATTCATAGACTAGATACATGTACAATGCCATGCTATTGGAAAATATGGCCCACATACACCCAACCAAATGACATGTACAGAACTTATGAACTTCATTTAACCCACCTAGTATTGAGGCCAACCCCTGATCTGACCAAATGAGCAACACGTCGCACTAAAAGATCTAATGACTCTGCATTCAAAACGTTAATGCAGAGATCTAGAGTTTCCCACATAGGGGAGCTTCTTGCTATCGAAATTCGCAAACTCTCCAGTTTTTCTGTCTGGATTCCAACATTAGCGGCATGAAGCTGGAAAAGGGGAGAAAGTAAATATATACCAAGTACACAGGATATGAATCAGAAACTTTCTAAGAAGCACAAGAAGTGGTACAAACCTCAACATAATTGAGACCTTGGTCCTCAAGACTAGACAAACTTTCCAGCATGCAGCAAACTAAATCAGGCAGATGTGGACGAAGTGCAACGCCTGCACCCTGCAAAAGAGATACAATCATATCAAGAAACCATGATAATATCAGACGTATATATATTTCATCCATGAGGAAGATGTACATATTTATCACTTGGATACAATCAGACAAGTTGAAACGGAAGAGTAAAATTAACCAAGCTGGAAAGCAGACAGAATTAATCGATGTCAGTGCTCTCAAAATGTATCTTGTCTTGAATTTTGACGAAACAAAAGAAAATGGAGATCAGACCTTTGCAAGCTTCATAACAACTCCAATTGAAGCCTTTCTGACGCTATCAACTTTACTTAGCATGCCTTCGGTGAGCAACAAAGGTAGAACGGTTTCCATTGCTTTGCTGGCATTTGATATTTCAGTGAGGGAAATGTCACATAGCCTCAAAGTCAACGTAGTTGCAACACGACATAACTTGTCCCCAGCATTTCGTACAGTCTCTTTTATGTCATCCATGGTACGAAATGCTACTGTCCATATTTCCTTCAAATGCTTGCCTACCTGTGTTAGAAGGAAATGAACAATAAGGCAATCACCATAATGAAACAATAATAATAAGCTTGATCAAGAAATATTGGAAGACCGGACTAAAAATTTGAGCAGTTTCAGAAGAAACACGGGTAAACCTCCCCATAGAACATAAAACATGTCCTGAATATATATTGTAGAGTCTTAAATTTTTTAAGCAAATTGTCACTCAAATTAAGCAGTTGGAACAAGTAGGGAAGAATAGTAAAAGGTGAAACTCATCAACTTCAAAAAGAATTATAGATAAGGCCTTACCTGACTGTATGGCCGCCCTTGGATAATATCTGCAAGGGCGTGACAGGAGGCCTCACGTGAACGCCAAAGCCTAGATCCGCTCTGACTTATCAAATCGTCAAAAATAAGGTCCAGATGTTGATCAATGGTTACCTTCGGTTCAGCCACCAATGACTTCCATATGTGTGCCATAGCATCCTACAATTGTTATCAAACAATGTAGTTAGCCGAAATCATAAGCAGAATAATAATCAATTTCCAGATATGTTATTAGCAAAGTAATCCAGGACCATTCGAATAGACAAAGTGAAAAAGTTTAAACAAAAGAGCGGTGTAAGAGACACCAGATCAGATATAAGGAAGAAGGAACCATGATCCTCAAGTGTGAAACTTAAGTAACTTTACTTCTGCAAACGGTTGAAAGAGCAACAGCACAGCGACACGTGCAGGGGTCGCCTTGCTTGAATCATCAATTATAAAGACAATAACAACAGCTGGTATTTGCTAAGAAACATAATACTTTAACATAGTAATACGCCAGTACTTTAATGATTTGTACCTGCACGTTTTTATCAGGATCATACTGATATCTAATCAGCCTTGGGACTAGTAATCGTAAATGGGGTTGGAGAGCATCCCCAGCTTGCTTGGCTATCTTCGAGAATCCAAAAGCAGCCCCCCTTTTAGAGTTTAGGGATGCTTGATGATTAGCAAGATCCATGAACTTATAAACCAAGTCTGGTTGGCCCATCTCAGTTGCAAGACTGCAAAGCTCCTTGTAAGTGCTAAGTTTCCCCCCAGTAGGACTTTCACCGATAGTTCCCTCATGAAAAATTTCAGTATCTCCTTCCAGCTGCAGATCAAAAGCTTTGTAGTCAAACACAAACTGTAGCAGAAATGCCAAGAATAGCACAACTTTCTACCTTGATGGCTCTTTTCCTCTTCCCCGAACCAGTTAAAGTGCTAACTAGTGCAGCTACCAAATTCTTCTTCATCGATGCATCACCAAGATCATATACGACGCTCATTCCTTGAGATGCCAAGTCTTGTGTTAGTTCATGTTGTTCACCAAGTAAGTAAGAAAATGCTTCCTGAAAGACATTTTGGACGTTGTCAGCAGCTATGTGAGGCAATTCGTCTAGCACACCAAGAATTCTTAAGAAGAACATTTTGAACGTGAGGTTGGCCTGAAAATTGATCCCACGTTTTGTCTAGTTGTTTCTTATGACCTAATCAAGTATATAGCAGTGGTCTACTATGTCTGTTTCTGATAGCACCTAAGCAGGCCTACAGATAAAGTGCCACATCAATCTTGTCAAACCATTTTCCAAAACAGTAATGGCATGTTAACTTAAAGGAAAACTAGATACGCAGAAATCTAGCACAGCTTTGTTTCCTAAAAATGGCACATTACTCCAGGTATAATTTTGGAAACTGAGAATGAGAGTTGACATGAAACTAATATAAACAGATTGAGACAAAGAAAACAAGGGAGAAGAAGGAAGAGTGGTGGGGGCACAGGACGAAGACAGCACATACACAAGTGACAAAGGATCAACCTGAATTTGAGGAAGCATCTGTTGAATGACAGGGTGATGGCCACAATACATAGTCAGTGACAGCAGCCACACAGTTCCAGCACAGCGCTCTTCTTTCCTGCTGCTATATAAAAGCACATTGAAGAGCTGTTTAGTAATTGCATCTCTGACTGCGACATGATAATCCTCGTTATCTTCGATTCTCGAACAAGTGTCATGATCTGGAAAAGATGAGCTAATATCTGCCAGAAGAAAGTTTGAACTTGTGGAAAGAGAAGAATAGTTTGTTTTAAGAATCACATCAGCTGTCACAGGGACACCACCCCACAGAAATGACAAAGCCTCCCCGGCAGCAAACAAGACATCCTCGACCTGAAAAACAAGTAGAGTATCAAGTACCTTTACGATTATCCAGAAACCAAAAATGAAAATCTGTTGCATTGAGGAAAATATTTATTCCTATGGAACAGATTTTGCAATTCTCTACAATTACACGAATGGGACTCATATTGAAGTGCGTCTCATAAGAGCAACAACTCTTTCTCGCCAGAAAATAAAATATAAATCACATTAAGGTTCTACATAAACAATATTTTGTTTCCTATACATTCAATGAATACTCTTTTTATGAATAATAAACAAGATGCATCTGGCATATCAGACAAACAAAAGGAGGGGAAAGTCATCCGAAAATCATATTATAAGTCCTAGAAATCATGAAGCTGTATGTACAAGGGTATGTTTCTACACACCTTGCACCGACAGAGTTTAAACATCAATTCAAGCGCGAGATTAAGAGTCGACGGTGATGTTTCCTTCATACACATATGTCCGAGGGAGATAATAACTTTCTGAATTGCTTTTGTATCGTCACCAGAAAGCAGCTTGCTCAGCTTGTCATGCAATAGTTCAAGAACATGAGCTGCAGGTAATTTACAGAGAGAGAATGTTATCGGATTATACTTGAGAGTGGAAGTCAATAAAAGCAGTTTAAGTCAACAAAGCCACCTGAACGGTTATTATCAGGAATTGGTGGTAAGGGTACCCGTAATCCAATATGACCAAGAGCTTGCACTGCAATAGAGGCCAAAACTGGGCTCTCAGAGTTGGCAACTTTCGTCAGGCATCTGAGTACATCCTGAAGCCTTGACTCCTCAATCTATATACCACATGAGACAGACCCGAATAATGAATGCTCAAGCTTAGCTGGATTATACTCCTCTACAGAAGGGAAAACAATGGAAACAGAGAGACTGAACATATGCTATCTAAGCTAACAGCAAAGATTGGAAAACAATGGAAACAAAGAGACCGCACATATGCTATCTAAGCTAACAGCAAAGATTCGAAGGCAGTGCATCCAAGGTTTTGGAGCGTATGTTGGAAATATGTACCATTATCAGCTGTACAGAAATAGAATCCCAGGGCCGATGCAAACAAATACAAATGATTGGACATAATGTGGATACCTGAACCAAGTTAAGTCTCAATCTACGTAGATGTGAGGTATTCGAGAATCCACATAATTATGTCAACCATGTGATACTAGACGGCTGTGTTCACATATTGAAAATGCAAGACAGCAGGAAACTAAGGAGAACATATCATATTCTTCAGAATTCCAGTCTTGATTATTGATATTTGATATTGGTAAATGGTAATCATTCCCTGAGTGGTTCAACCAGGGTCCTGCAACATGTCAGAAGTTGGATAATACCAACCCAGACCTGTCCATAAGGTGTTTCTCCTATACATTGATATCCAATTTAGAACCAATAACTCAAATATAATATTATCTTGCAGTCATAATATACCAAGAAAGGAAACAACACCATCCTCAAATCTACAAGACCAGTGGTACACTGCAGGGCCAATCAGACTAGCAGCAGAGTAATTGATAAGCTACACCTGTCTAAGACAACTTCAGTCTAACCAAAAGGTTTTAGGGAGAGATAGAAATTACAATCTTTTCACTGATGGCCAACACTTCACAATTCACTACATGCCACATCCTCATGCTCTGAGAAATCAATCATATGGAGCATTTTCCTGGTCTTATAGTTATCTTTCCAGACAACTGCCCTGGACAATTGATAGGACCTACATTTCGTCATTTCCTAGTCTAATACTTGTTTACCTAGAACGCAAGAACCATGTTTCCTTTCAGAAAGAACTCCCAACAAATGGCTGCAGAATTCTGCGTACCCAAAGTCCCATGGCTATCAGTGGAACAAGCCAAAAAATAAACAAGTGGGACTTTAGCAGTTCTGATAGGTTGGCTTGGCATATTTTCTTCAGCTCAAAAAGATAGATTGAACGAATAGCAATGTACCGTAGGTATTCTAGATGCACAATCTGCAGTGACATATCCCAATGCAGATAATGTTCCATGCTGAACCTCAAACCTGGAAAGGCAATCATGCAAATAAGGAATCAGAAGCTCCCCTCAATCCCCAGAGAAAATTAGCAGGTCAAACAGAGACAAGCTGGAAACCTCATATTATTAGATTTGCTAATTGAGGAAAGCAACTCTTGAATAAGATCAGATGATGTGCCAATGGGAAGAGCTGAGGAAGCTATCCCAAGAAGTCGAGCCACAGATTCGCGGGTATCTAGGTCTATGTGACTCAGGAACTGTCTTAGCCATGATATTCTATGAGCATACCGTAAAGCCATCATCTGAAAAGTTCCAAAGACGTGATAAAGTAATTTTTCTTTTAAGTGTAAATAATGCCTAAACAATTAAGAACGATAAATATACACCATAAGCCTGATTCAACAAAAGATAAAGGTTTCTACCAATACTATTATAAATTAGAAGGCAAGGAGCAAAGTCACAAATTGTTTTCGGGTAAAGCAACAGTAGGCTGCCCTCAGAAAATAAAGCAGAAACCAATTTGTTTCTCAAAAAAGCTTACCTGTGGAAGAAAAGAACCGACTGTTACTATAGTCTTTGAGGCTGTAGCATGCAACTCAACGGAACCCTCATATGCCATTCCATGCTCTAACAGTGTACACAGTTTCTCCACTGTAGAAAGAAACTCAGATGATCGACCTAAAGAGCTGTCTAGCTTCAACTCTGACTCAAAGCACTTCAATAGAAATTTGATCATGGCGACATACGTTCCAGAAGGAAAAAGAAGGTTATGTCCCATATCGCTTGAATCCAACAACTTTGGCTGTTGCTTACAAATATAATCCAACATGCCTTCAACTCTTGGGTACTTTATCTCAAGATCTTGACTAATAGCATGGCCTTCATCTTTGACTGGAAAGAGGCTTTCAAGGGCCAACTCCCTTGTGATCATTTTTGGAAAAAGAAACAGAAAATGGCTTAGTATGCGAAGTTCCGAATAATAACAATGAAAAAACCTGGTGTTTAATAGCTAGTGCAGAATCTTTAACGTATAGGGATTACAATATAGAATAAGCAACCAAACATACAGATGTGATAAAGAAACTTTTATTAAATCAGAAAAGGATGCAACCAAATCAGAAATCTGACCCATCTTTGGCACAGTTGCAAACTAGTTGGAAGTTCAGATAAAGTTTGATCTAACAATAAACAGAAAATTTTGTGCAAACTGAAGCCGCATAAACAATAAAGAAATCCATAATAGAACTTAAGAAGAAAAACAAAAGAAATACGAAAGAGGACTAATCACACATCAATTTAGAATCTAGAAATTGAACCCGGGCAAGCCTAACAGTTCTGATTAACAGTCAGAATCTCAACTACTTTTCCCGCATTTCCTAGTCCAGTTAGCTTAAACAGGCAGACAGCATAACAATGCACATCTAATGTGAGATAAACTTGCCAAATATAGATAAACATAAGTCAGATCTAAGGAAATTCATTAGCATAAATTTTGTCATTTGAATCGCACAGGTCAGCACAATGCACTTCCCAGATGCCATCAGTACCAAAACATCATACCTAAAAGGAAATGAGAAATGCAAGAAGACATAAAGGGTTACACAGCCTCCCAAGCATTTAAAGGCAAGATGGATTCCATAGTGCTCAAGAAAGTCAGGAATCTAAACCTATAACAATCAGCTGTATTACTCGGAAATACTTTCTAATCAATGTCCCTGTTGATTTATATCACATAAACACTTCCACAATGAAGAAAAAATACATGCCCAAATTGTTTGACTTAACTAAGTATAACCACGTTTTAATTTCTGTAGTTCAGAACAGGTGAGGTGTAGCCATTAATCTTTATTCCGTTGTCCAAAACTGAAAAAGCGTCTTCGCATCATGAGACAGATCAAACACTAAAAATTACAGTCAAGTCAAGTCAATGAGGTGCATGCAAAATGCAGGAAAGTTGTACATTAAAGCAACTCAAGAGAAACAATCAGATACTGACAAAAGAAAAACATACCTAATGTCCAACCGAGAGTCGGCTACTCCAAGCATACAAATAAATCGACTGGGATAATGCTGCAAATCAAACAAAGATGTCGCCCATCTCATCGCACAGAAACGCACTTCGTCTTGTTCCTGGTAGCCGCAGCAATATTTATACCACAACAGATGAGATGGATCACAGATCAAAATCAGAGTGAAGAGGGAGTTCTAAGACTATAGAGCACCAAATGATCAGCATTAACAGTTCAACCAATTTGAAGTACCGCTTGACAATTGTTCTGCAGAAGTGTCTCCAATTCCACCAGCACCGTAGTTGATGCCCCCTGATATACATACAAAAAGAATCCTAATTAACAATAAATATTGAGCACAACATGCAGTCAATAGTTTCTGGTGTAATCTAAGGAAACCCTGTCTCCACTTGAGATCCCTAACCCATAGTATCTAAGGTTCGTATGGGAATAAATTATTACCAAAAAAATTGACAATTGAGAACACTACTAAAAAAGATTGATTACCAAAGAAAGAAAAAAGTACAAATGAATCAGAAGACGAAACTGCAGAGTCTGAACAGGATAATATTCATATTTTAAGTCACCTTTGCAAACTCCACACAAAAATTAGCACAGCGAAGCCAGGACCATGAAGACATAGACAGGCTATTCAACAGCAAGTACAAGTGCGAAAGATAGGAAAGGGAAAGAACCCATCCAGCCGTAGAAGGCGGTGAGGTCTACCTTATATGCAGCTGCCAGAGAATTAGTCGCTTCTTGGATCACAAGACGTAGAGACTGCGATTCCATTTTCAGTGCATCAAAAAGTCTAACAGCCATGTCAACCTTATCTCTGCAGTTATCAAAGTGGTCAGCATATTCAGCCACAAAATGAGGGAACGACAAGAAATTATATGATCAAACAAATACCTAAAGAGATGGGGAAGGCGCTGCGCAAGTAATCCGATAGCTTGAAAACAGAAGTTTTTTGTCTCCCTGGCAGCAGCATCTGGAGAGAATCAAGGGGGCAGTTCACAATACTAAGTCAAACACGTCCAGACTGAGAAACAATAATTCAAACTGATTTATGTTCATCCTAGTTGCTGTGTACGACTCCAACAGTAATCCAAAAAGAACATATTGTATCATGTACCTGATTCTGAGAATGAGTAACCATCAAGCAGCTTCAGAATGCCATTCAATATAACAGGCCCCATAATCTTCAGCTGGTCAATGCTTGCCTGTGGAGAAGGAATGAGAGCATATGTAAAACGATACAGAGAAAGCACATCATATTAGGTTTTGCTGATGTGTTAACCTGACAACAGATTGGGATGACAAAAAGAAATCAAAGTCCAATGATTAGTTGAAGTACGTTATCCAGAGTGGATACAACCATATGGACCATTGCACATCATTTTGCCCTACCAGATACTATGTCCTCAAAAGAATTCAACGAGAGCTGGATCCTCAAATAATAACCAGATGACACGAATCCATAATAGATTATTAGACTGGTTACGAGCAAGCAGGGTTGGGAGACATTAAGGCTTCGAAGATACAAGAACACAGTTAATGTGCCAGTGTACAAGGTGATGACAACTAATCCGAAGACGCAACTAAACGAATAAAATTTTCAGTCAGGACTTCAGCATAAGGTGCAGAATTGTCGCCAATTACAATAATCAAAGTATAGAATTGCACTTCAGTCTTCACGTGTAATAATGTACATGGAAGTCAGTTCCTTCTCTAGTTCTGAGCTTTATTTCAGTATTTCTGAAGTTTTTTGCTAAAACGAGGACTTTGACGTACTACAGAAATTCAGATTAGAAACGCATGTTTCTTAGACAAGATCAGCAAAACTTAAGCACTTATACATGTATTGTTAACAACTGGTTTGGAAAATAAAAGATAGGCAGAGATAGCACAAGATGTTCGAACTTCTTATTGAACGAAAAAACTAAGAGAGAACCATAATAGGAAGGAAGAACATGGAGAGAAGCTTCTCACATGGGAACACAATTTATCAGAAATTAACAATGGTCATTCTCATTTTCATCTTATCAGTTGAATTTTCCGAGTATGTATAATCACCATTTCATAATCTCGTTTCAAATTCCTCACTTTTCCATACAAGAGCAAAGTAGTGCCCTTAACTTTTTCAGGTATCTCATTTTAGCTCCCCTCCTATATTTCCTTTCTTCAACCCCAAAGCCCAATCCAAAGACAAGTACTGATCATAACTCCGTGAAATACCTCAAGCCACAGGGAAAGGCTCTTACATGTTTAAATACCCAGACAGTAAATTCCATCCCCATCTGCTTTAACCTTGAAGTGGTACCACTCCCTGGTATATTTAAATAGCACCAAAGCAAGATGAAGTCAGTATCTGTGATGAACCCAGCATGGAAGATAAAGGACAATAACTGTGACAGGCTATATGAATTTAGTAAATCTAACTAAGATAGAAAAGGAGAGCGAGAGAACTAGATTTATGTAATTCAAGAAATATTGGTCTACTTGCTGGTGAGAGTTATCTAAGCGCCTAAATGGTAAGAGTAAAGCAAGTCCATTGGCAAGTCATACAGAAAGGCTTTAATTATCCCGTATGAAGGTTGACCTAGCAGATCGGTTCCTTTAGCCAAATAATATTATGAAACTAAACAACAGTAGGTAATAGTTACATTCTGGAATTAACAACAGTAACAAATTAAAAGATCACAGAGACAAACATCCATAAGTAATATCCACCGGAAGAGCATATAATTACTAGCATCCTAAGGCTTCTGTTGGGTGCAAATGGCCTCAGTCTTCAAAATGTTCACCATCAGAAAGTAAAAGCTAGCAATTAATATAGTACCATATATGCAGGTGAAAATGCACTGAAGCGTTGCAGGAAAACTATTTGCTGCTGCAATTGACCGGCAAAAGATTGTCATTATTTTTGTTTTCAACACAACGCTTCCGGGAGAAACTCTTGATTCAGGGGCAATACTTTCAACAGCAATGCTTCCTGCATAAAGATCACTAGCACATTAGGAAAGTGGATGTTATGAAACTCAATGCAACATGTTATCTAAATTACAAAACTCTACTCCCTCTCCTTTCTTTTTTTTTTTTTTTTCCTTTTTTCTCCACTCGTGGTCTTCTGGTTCCCCAAGTTTGTGGAGATAATAATCAGGCTAAAACATACATAAGGACAAAGGGATGGCAATATCACTGTAGAGAATCAGTATATATAATGAAAAATGACTTTCTCAGTCCAAAATGAGAAACCCAGCAACTATCTCTTCAAAACAAACACTGCCAAAACACGAATCATACCGTTAAATAATGTAAACAATTTCTTCAGCAAATTCAGATCATCTAGATTAGCACCCACTGCCTTTTTCTTCAGGAGCTGTTCCCCTCTCTTAATTACTGGCTCTTGACTTGTGAAAACAATCACCAAATGTTTAATCAAGTCCATGAGTAATATATATGAGGACAAAGTATTTCATGAAGATGTGTATAAAGAAACTTATTGAATCAGATATACAGAGAACCACACTTACCAATCGGCAGTAGCAGCTAAATATAAGGGATAAACATGTTCTGGAGCCAGGTCAATTGCTTCAATAACATTCAAAACCCCTAACTGCATAGGAAAGATTAATGAGAAGACTAGCCACTTTCATGTGATTTTACCATCAAAAGAACTTGAATGCTAATGTCACCTTTCTAGTCAACAGCACATCACCATTCAGTGGATGCTTTCCAGCAACACGATTGCTCTTAGCAACTGAAAGCCCAGGTGGACAACCTCCACTAGAATCAAAGCAGTCCACACTCGAATGAATTCACTACAATAATAGCCTCATATAAGAATGACAAGGACGAGATCAATACCTTTGCGATGGTTGTTGATACAATAGTACGTCAAGACAGAAATCAACGAACAATTCCATATCCTGAGAAACACTAAACGATCTATATTTGGTAGCAACCTGTTCGTCAATCTCACTAGCATGACACTCACCAATAACCTGAAACCAAGTCAAACAACTAACTATAGCAAAAAGGCACCAGATTTCGAAACTGTGGAACAAATCCTAATTCTGTAACCAAAGACTCTTCATGAATATTATTCATGTTGTAAAAACAAAGAGACAATTGAAAAAAAAAAATCTATTATACGCTATGCTTTTCAATACCGCAATAAAGAAAAAGTCATCTAGAGAATTCCAGAGAATAACTGAAGGATACATATCTTTACTTCAACATGCAGTTCCTGAATTTGTTTCTTAATTCAACAGTTGGAATGACTGATTTAATTATAAGGGGCCTAGGATTTGCCACCAAAAGTATGTTATATGCAGCCTAGAGATAATGTGATGCCAAACGATGAAGTCGACCACCTTCGAAGACCAAAAACTTTTCACAGATCTGACAAGCAGCATATAGCTTCAGACTAGCCAATTAATCCATTGTTACCAAAAAGATGCTGCTTTTATTTTCCACAGAACATATGCTTCTTTTGAGTAGAGCAACTTACATTGCCTCAAAAAAAAAACATGGGATTTCAAACTTTAAGAGTATCTTATCCAACCATACTGGAATACAGGTGCTTTAACAAGCTTCCTCACTCGGAACCAACCCGAAACTCCTTCTAAATTAGTGACTAGGTTTTGAAGGAGTTAGCAATTTATCTCCCAGGTTGTCCTCGTACTGCCAAAATGTCAACTTAACAACCAGACCAAAGGAATGAACATCTTCTGAATTGTAATCTATGCATCACCTTACCATAAAATCCGCCCGAGAAGAATTCCAGTAATGGAGGAACAAAGGCCTAGTTGATTTAAACATATACAACACTCCATTCTTCAAGGGCAAAATGAACTGGTCCGAACAACCAGACTCATCATTAAGGACAAATGCTAAAGTTTGAGTCATACCTTGGCAGCACTCCTCAAGATAATGTCTTGGTGTTGAGGAGGGAGCTTGGAAATGTTCTCTAAAAGCAAAGGTGTCATACTTTCCTTCACCTAAAGCAAACAACCAAGAGTCAGCCCGCGAAAATGAACAACGAAAGTAAACATGCATATACAAAAGTAGCAAGAAGATGGACAGACCTTCACATCTACTCGATCAAAAGCCATCTCAATGTAGACAACGCAGAAATTCCTAACCATGGAAGCAGCATTAGAATCCAAATACAGCTTCCACAAATCTTGCAATGGCAAACCAATTTCAGGCTGGTGCTTCACTCTTTTGTTCACATGACTTAAAATCTCCAGAACCTGCCACGGAGAGAAACCCAAAATCTCGGGTGTTAAGGCAATTATCATACGCAGAAGCTATTTTCTCGATCACCAAACGAAGTTAATTGCGAGCGGAAACTCGGATTGCCGGGCATGAATTGAGAGTGGGGGAAAGCTTGCCTTGTTCCGAACAGCGGTGGACTGAGACGACAGAGTGGAAATAGCGAGAGGGAGGAGCCTTGATAGCAAGGCCTCGAGGTTTGGGTCATCGCACAGTGCCAGCCGAGTCAACATTCGGTCCAGCAAATCCTCCGTGTCGGCGTCGGACCTTCCGGTCTCTGCTGCCGCCATCGACATGCTCAAGTTTAGCTTTCTGGAGGGCTTTCTTTCTTCTCCGGTTCCTTTCCTGTTCAGCAAGTCAGGAGAGGAGAGGACTAGGAAATGGGGTTTTCAATTTGGCAGCGGTGCTAATTTGAAGCAATAGAAAAGGCGTGTTGGGTTTTGGCCGTGTTTCTTTACAATTCTACACGAGGATGGTTTTGTAACTATTTTAACTTTAGGCAAAATAACTCAACTTTGATCCTTTGGACCAAAATGGCACAAACTCTTAAAAATAACAAAAAGTAACCACACATATTCACGATGATGTTCTGAATACACGATGATTGTTAGTTTTTTAAATTTATCATTCAGGAGAATAAATCATTTTTCTTTCGAGAAGAAAGGAAACTTGAAACAAAAGGTTATGGAGATTTTGGGGTTATGTCGCCATCTCCATCTCATGTACTCGAACTTAGTAGCGACATCCAAAAGTCAATATCGGACTATAATAAATGAACATATCCAGTCATCCTTTTATATTGAAACAACAATGGCATTGCCATGATTGTATGTGTAAAGAGCAAATGCAAACTACTAAAAGTTTTAAACACTCCTCAATGAAGTAACTATACATGTTACTTCTATATATGTTAATTAAGTTAAGAAAGTGCATCCACGCGATTATATGTTTGCGGGACAGTTAGATAGAAAATTTAGAAGGTTTGTGTGGGGATGAAGAAGGAAGGTACACTTGGTTTCTTGGGATACCATCTGCAACTGGAAAAAAAAGAGGTTGGTGTTTAGGGCTTAGATTGGCTAGAAGGTTTAATCTATAGCCTATATGGTGAAATTTGAGTGGCGTGTATTCAATAACGAAATAGATTTTTGGCTACATATCATCCAAGGGAAGTACTTCCATCACCAGGAAGCGAAAATCAGTGTGATGACGCCTAGTAATCGTTGTAGTTTGTGAGGAGCAATCATAAAAGTTGTACCTTTTGTGAAGAAAGGATTAGTGTGGAACATTAGGGATGGCGAGACCACGGGGTTTTGGACCCATCCTGACTTGACAAAGACACTTTCATTGAGGATTATTCCCTCGTTGATCTGTCCATGGAGGAGAAGCACTCGTGTGTAGCGAAATGGGTTAATGGCGAAGGTGAGTGTGACTGACAGAGATTGAAAGTTAATTTGCCTAATGGAATGCTGGTATGAATTGCAAGTATGGAGGCTCCTAAACCGGTACTTGGAAATTATAAAACTCTTTGGGGTGTGGAGATGGGAGATTCAGAGCCCACTCTACAACCTGATGGATGGCGAAATGGAAACGAAACCTAGCCTTTTATGAAACTGTCTCTGGAAATGGGACGGCCTAGTAGAGAGAAATTGGTCCTCTGGCTTGTATCGCACAACAGACTCCTCACTAGTGCATAAAGAAAGAAATGTCAGCTCACATAAAAAAGACATCTGCAACCGTTGCATTGATGATGAGGAAACAATGGGAGCACATAATCAGAAGATGCAAGAAGACGGTAAGGATTCGTAAGTCATTGAACTATAAGGTCAAATATAAGAATAATTTCATCGACTTCTAGTCGTGGATTAGCATAAATATCAAAGTCAATGATACTAATATGGAATTTGGAATCATTTGTTGGTTCTTTTGGAAGTAGATAAATGTTGAAGTTATGGAGGGTAAGAATTACTTAGAAGAAGGTATAATATGCATAACCAAAGCCTGATTCAACATCTACAAGTCAACGTCGCAAAGTGTTGCTATCCGCCTATCCCTTGTTAAATGTCGGATGATGGAGCAACAAAAGGGATGGGAACCCCCGAGAGAAGGGTGTATCTAAGTCCAAATGGATGGATCGGTTTTGGGTACAACAAGTGTTGATGGACCAACAGTGCTTATTAGAGACAACCTCAGAAGCTGTCTGGATGTGTTCTCTTTCAACATCGATATATGTTCTATAACCAGTGTTGAGCTCAAAGGAGCAGCGTGGGCCTCGAGATGGCTTGGCAAAAAAGATTTCATGAAAGTGGAGTTAAACCTCTAACCAGAAACATCAATTTGCATAATTTGTGACGGGAAAGATGATAGTCACCACCGTGGGCTGCTTCAACTCTTAATTCGTGATTGGTAGGCTCTTGTGAAGCATGTTTATAGGGAGTAATTATGTTGCCAATTTGTTTACTTCTAAGGGTCATGGTTTACCTTTTGGCACACATTATTTAGATATGTGCTACCAGAACCTATATCAATGGTTGTTGTATGACGTCATGGGTATCATCATGGCTCGTTATCTGTTAATGTTATGAATTAGGACGATTTCGTCCTGCTTTTTATAAATAAATAAATGTGTTGGATTTTTTTTGTGTGCTTACTATTCTACACTAGGAAGGAATGATATTTTTGTAACGATTTTAGATTTAAGTAAAATACCACAATTTTGATAATTTGGACCAAAATGGCACAAAATCTCATAATTAACAAATGTCGCCACACAAATTCAAACTCTTGGGAAGGATGTTGTGCATACTAGGTTGATTGTTAGATCCTTGAATGAGTCATTCGGGAGAATGATTCGTTTTTCTTTTAAGGAGAAAGGAAACCTAAAGCAAAATATTTTGGAGATTTTTGTATTATGTCGTCATTCCATGTGCTTGAACTTAGTAGTAGCATCCAAAAGACAATATCATGTTACAATAAATGAACATATTTAGTTATTATTCTATATTAAAGCAATGACATTCCCACGATTATATGTGTGTAAAGAACAAATTGATTACAAACTAAGAAAAGTCTTAAACACCCCTGAACGAAATAACTATGTGGAATCAAGTTAAGAAAGTGTATCGAGAAGAGTATGGGCGGTGAGTTCTTGTGTGGAGGCATTTGAAAAACCAAGATCCTCGATCGGCTCGTTTATGAATTCACTTCCTTTAATCCACTTCATTTGGAGTCATTGAACTTGAGATTGTCCAAAGGAACATATGTGGTGAACAACATACTTTGACGTTATGGTTTGTTGATCAAACTTTGTGCACTCGTTTATGAAATCACTTCCTATAACTCACAACATAATTTGATGAAGAAAAAATCATATACCAAGGAATAAATTTTTTTTGTAATGTCCTATCATCATTTCGTTTTTTCTGACATTGTGTAATCTCTCAGATTCCTCGTCAATACAAATTTCATTTGTTTTCCTTTTCCAACCTGAAAATATGGACAGTTTTGCCAAGTCAGCTAAAAAAACCCATCGACAATTTTCATTAGATTATTTAGTCGTATTAGTAATTTGAGTATGACTACGTTGACTTGTGGTAGACTTGAAGTAAACTTCACTTGGAGTTGGGTGGAGGTTTCACCCAACGAAAGGTTAGTCCGATCAGCACCATAAGGTTGGTTAGGTTCACTGCATGGTTCATCAAGTGAACCACAATGTCAATTAGGCCCACGACTCCTTCATTTATAAAGTTAATTAATATTTAGTTTCATAAAACCTTATTAAGTTTCCTAATTGATAATCCAATAGAATATGTTGAAGATTACAGAAGAAGGATGAACATTATGACAAGTATAACTAAGAAGCATGAATATAAAATCAAGTCCCAACATTAAAAGTTATTAAAAGTACTCAATAACGTACAAACTATATTTCATTTTAACTAGTGATCCACCTTTATTGCAAAAACTTAAGCACAATCTCAAATTCTCAATCATTTAGATTTCCCCCATTGTTTCGAACAAGGAAGTAGACAATGGTCCTGAATAAAGTCAAGTCTTATGACCACAATGAAATCGTCAATATTCAACACCTTATTATGCCTCCACTGCTTCTGACCTCAGCCGGAGCCTCACAAATGAGAGAACGGACGCCCACCGCCGGCGTCCTTCAAGACGGTTCCTAATTTCCTCAAAGAGGTGCTGGACGAATTCGCCGTTGACACACTCCGTCGAAATACCACTCGTCAAAGCGGTGGCGGGGACCACCACATGCAAATTAATAATTTTCTTTAATCCCACACGCAAATAATTTTGGGCTTGATTAAAACCCGAGGAAAGAAAAAAGCCCACCACTGGCGACCCTTGACCACCACCAACCTACCCCACGTGGCCGAAAGCCCCTAAAACTAAAACCACACCCTCAAAAACCAAACGTCCCCGCCACCCCCATTCCCTCTCTTCTCAATTCTCATCACACAATAATACACAAGATTACAGCAGAGAGAGAGAGAGAGGGGAAATTCGAAATCGCAGCTCTCATGGCGGAAGCGTACGAAGACGAGGAAGAGGTGTGGAAGTGCGCCAAGCATCCGCCGCGGTCGTCGCGCTCGCGCCGCCCCCGCTACGGAATCTGCCACCGCTGCCTCAGGGAGCGCCTGGCGGCGCTCTGCCCCCACTGCGGCGACGCCCGCCGCCCCTGCTCCTGCGGCGCCTGCTCCTCCACCGCCGCCGATTCTTCTTCATCGTCGTCGACGATCAAGAGGTCCGGAAGCGTCAGCCGCATATCGAATTTTCTGTTCGAGAGCAGCAGCAGCAACACCGCCGAGCCTTCCTTGCGGCGGTCGAGATCCTTGGCGGTGGCGATTCCTTTCCTCCGGTCGTCAACCAATCGTCATCCTCCTCCTGCCGCTGCTTCCGGCAAGGCGGCTCCCACTCCCGCTCCGTCGTTCTGGTCAATTCTGAAAGGCGGCGGCGCGTCGGCGAAGAAGAATGACGGCGTGGCGGCGGCGGGGGAGGAGGAGGACGGTGAGCAGCTGCGGAGGATGATGATGAGGAAATCGAGGTCGGTGGCGGTGACGTCAGCGGATGCAGGGAGGTTGTCGTGGAAAGGAAGCGGCGGAGGGAGAGGGTGGCATTTTCCGAGTCCGATGAAGGTTTTCCGGCAATCGAAAATCTCCGCCAGGGGCGGCGGCGGCGGCGGCTTGATGCAGGGGAGTGAAAGGTCTCCGTTGGACCGCGGTTGATTATTATTGATTAATTAACTTAATTAATTACTCTTTTGGTGGGATTTGTGTACAGAGGATTTTTACTTGGTTGTTGCGAACTTGCGATTGCTTTTCCTTTCGTGCCCGACTTTTGCCGTTGCTAATCTCGAGTGTGGGGGGGTTTGACGTGGCGGGTTATTACTGAGCTAAATCTCCTCATCGGAAGGATGAAACTGATGTTAATCGTGGTTTGTGAAGGTTGATTAATACTGATAATAATAATATACTATGGAGGGGCCATGTGTTCTTTTCATTTTTCCTGTTTGTTTTTAGCCGTGACGTGATTATGTGAATATGAATGTGAATGTTCATCTGTATTTGCACAAAAAATCTCCCCCAAGTTGATACGATTGTCCATATTGCACTGTCTGGCAACAGGGGGAAAATCGATATTGCACATGCACTAATGGATTTTATCAATTTTTTTTTTTTTAATAATCGTTTGACCTTTCAACATCCGGTTTTTTATATAGCCGCAACAATGGAATGGGCCTTGGGGTGTAGTATTCCTATGGGCTGTGTTTGGCGTAACAAGGGAAAATGGGCCAGATGGGTGTGTAAAAGCCCAGTATGAACAAGCGGGTTAGGCGTCGAGTTCTAATGGGCCAGAGACGAGAGAAGTTGGGCTTCAGGGCCGGTTTGTTCATCGGACTGCCGAGAAGTCGCTTTCTTGTTGCCGGAGCTCTAATCCGCTGTCTGCTTACGTGGCGGCGTTCTAAAACCGTTGTTATCAAAACTATAAAGAAAACTGGTTGGTGCGGGACATGATAGGCCACCTGTTTCTCATTTTGTGCTGTTGTTTATCGACCTTCAATAAAGAGAAAAAAATAATCTTTTAATGGAATTTGCCGAAGGACAGCCATCAGTATGGGACTCGTGCCAGCCATTAGTGTAAAGCCACGTGTATGATACTCCAGCCAGAAACCAAGTGGCTGTATAATTCCAAAACTGGATCGGAAAGTAGAAATTCAGAAAGTAAGAGGGTCTATTTGATCAAGGGTTAAATTATATTATTTAACAAATGACATTAACCTCAGAAGTCAGAAGGACTGCTATATTGTTTTCAGGCGGGTATCAGGAATAGGATGTCAATTCCCGTCATAATAGACGAAATTAAACTCCTATGATATCGAAACCGAAGAAAAAGAAACGGTAATAATGAGGATTTTTTTTTTTGACAGTGACAGGGACTTGTTTGTTAAAAGTGTGAAAGTAGAGGGGCCAAAATGACCATTGACTCGAGTGCAAACGAAGGAACACAGTGATAGCGCCATCAGTTAACGACTCCATCACGCATTCAATTTTACATTTGCCTGCCCTCCAACCACTTCCTCATCTTCCCTCCCTCCCTCCTCCAATCGTTCATTTCACGGCCCTCCATTTTTTTGCCTGCCAAATATTTATTTGAAAAAAAGGTCAACAAAACCCGAAAGCAGGTTAACCAGCCCGATTATCCCCCCCAAAATTCTAGGGTTTTCTTAGCAACTCCCGAGCTCTCCCCGGTTCCAGCTTCTCCTCTGGATTCAACCAGGTATCCTGTAATCTTCTTTTCATGCCCGTCCGTTTCCCCTTGTTTGTGTTTCCCGTGTTTCCGGCGGTTTAGGGGGGAAACGGGGGAATTTAAGAGAGCTGCTATGGTGTTGATACGGAATTCGTTGGGAATTTTTGCTCAATTTTGGCGCGTTTTTTTTATTATAATTGAATGGAGTTTGTATCTCTGTGGTGATATTAGTTAATATTCCTATGTCAGTTGTTGTGAGATATAATGCTAGCAAAGAAGGCCTTGCAACTCTGTTCATGGCAGAGAACTAAACTGTTGCGTGCGTCGATGATTCCAGTTTCAACTTTTGAATTCGCTTCCGCAATGTCGAGCATGGAGGAGCCGCTCGGCCTTGACAAGCTGCCCAGCATGAGCACCATTGACCGGATTCAGAGGTTCTCGTCTGGTGCTTGCCGGTCCAGCGGCGATGAGTTGGGGATGGGGCATTGCTTTATTGATGGAAGGAATTGCAGCTCATCCAACAGTTGCGAGTAAGTGAAGCTCTTTAACTTTGTTGTTTTATGTCAATCAGCCTGAGCTGTATGAAAATCAGCTGTTATTTAATCTGTCCTGTCTTCACATTTCGGGTACCCATTTCTGCTCCACTGCATGAAATATAACCAACGATGCTGTTCCTTAGTTGGAAAACATCTCAAATGTAGTCCTAACCTCTGTGTTATGTCGCACACATGATCACTGTAGGCACAAGTATGAAGATAGAGATTGAGTCGTGGTCCACAGCTCGATTTATGTGTTGTTAGGGTGTATGTTTTCTGTGTTCTCCATTCAACAATGAACATAAATTTCTCAAGACTTATTAAGGAGGTTGTATCAAGTATTGGCTGGTTGTTCTTCTTTGATCTAGTGAGTCGTGTGTCCATTTACCGATTTGCTGCACGTATAAGCAAGCTGATCTATTGCATATCGTACGATGCATGATTATGTAGGGATGAGTCTGAATATACAAGAGACACCTTTCCCTGGAGAAGGCATACAAGAGGGCTGGCTAATGGTGAGTCCTTCATGCGGAGGACTAGGAGCACGGGTGTGAGTCACGTCGCTAATGGAAGTATTCGCCATTCGCGAAACTTTTCAGATTATCAAAATGATGCCCAATCTCGCAACAAAGATGTACGAGGCAGAGCGAATAAGGTGCTTTGTGTGTGTTGAACTGTATTTTGCTTGTTTTTATTTTATTATTATGACAGAATGTAAGTTGATATATTATTTTTGGTCTACAAAACCAGTTTAGTTATGTCTTCTTGAGCTCCTTTCATTGGTCCAGTGCTGGGTTCTGGTCTGCAATCAGCTTATCTCTGCTTGACCAATTTATGTTCCTTCTGAAATCTATAACCTTTGTCTTTGTTTTTGTCTAAACCAGTTTTTGAAAGACATACCGGCATTTGTCAAGATAGTAGAAGTTGGGCCAAGAGATGGACTACAAAACGAAAAAACTATTGTACCTACAGATATAAAGATTGAATTGATTCGAAGACTAGTAGCTTCTGGCTTGCCAGTCGTGGAAGCTACAAGTTTTGTATCACCTAAATGGGTTCCGCAGGTAACTTCATTGATTTTTGTTTAGTTTTTGTTGATGCTGCCAAATTGTATAATCACTTGATAATGTATGTAGATGCGTAGTTCCATCTTTTCATTGGTAGTTTAGTCTCTCCTACAACAGCAGTAAGAAGATCCATTATGATGTCCTAACTTATTGCTTTTTTTAAAATTTGACTGATTCCCTGTTTTCTAGTACAACTAATCTATCTGCTCAAAGTTAATGTGCTATTACAATAAGTTACACCTCTTAATAGTCATGTGTTGTTTGCTGCCAAGATCCTTAGGATTTCGAGGAAAACACATGTCACTGCCTCTGAAGATCTTTTCTTAGGAGAGCAAGTTGGATTTGGGTCGGCTGGTCGCCTCAACTTTTATCCATTAGAATTTGAAACTATTACACTTTTCGGCATTTTTAGTATTTCCTTTGTATGTGTGCATGTTAAAGTATATAAATATAGAACTATAATTTCTGAATTCTAAGATTTCTCCCCATTCCATTCTCGTGGGGCTTGTCTGTAGGTATAAGGAGGCTGCATTGTGCTTTGTTTTTGTGTTTGTTACTAATCAATTCTTAAATCAAAAGGCATTATGTTACTGTGGTAATTAACTTATCTTCTCATTCTCCTGCTGTTCAATCTTCTAATAGCTTGCAGATGCAAGAGACGTAATGAAAGCAGTTCATAGTTTGGAGGGCTCCAAATTACCTGTCCTGACACCTAACTTAAAGGTGAGTTTCTCTACAACAGTGCAGCTGACTTCATCATGGTTGCCTATTGAATCTTCTGATGGTTGTGTGAACTTTCAGGGATTTGAAGCTGCCGTTGCAGCCGGGGCTAAGGAAGTAGCAGTATTCGCATCAGCTTCCGAATCCTTCTCAAAGTCCAACATTAACTGTAGCATTGAAGAAAGCATTGCTCGCTATCGTGTTGTTACTCAAGCGGCGAAAGAGCACTCTATCCCTGTTCGTGGGTATGTTTAGTTGTTTCCCATTTTAGAATCTTGTCAATCTTCACATAATCCATTCAGGAGATCAACTGATCAAATATAAGGTGGTCCATGTCTGTGCTTGGATGTCAATTTCTTTCGAGATTGTTAACGATGAAGGTGCACAAAAGAAAAAGAGAAAAGGATTCCAGAAAGCACATTTTTTGTAGTAATCTTTAGTATCCTAATCTTTAGGTGCGTTCGTCCATGATTCATATCAATTCCTGTTCTTAGTTGATCTGAGCCATTTCATCTTCTTATCAAATAAATCTGAAACTGACAAAAAGGGTGAGACATGAGATATGGATTTTACTGGTTACAAGTCAATTCTGAAAACGTTGCATCCTTTTTGGCGGCATCTTAATTGCTTAATCTGTTGGATATTAGTCTCCATCTGTCCATAGCTGGTGCTCTCTGGGTCGTGTTTTGCTGACCAACTTCTAGGGGAACTCAGTTGCTTTCTGAATTTTACAGATACGTCTCATGTGTTGTTGGATGTCCAGTAGAAGGACCGATTTCCCCTGCAAAAGTAGCTTTTGTGGCAAAAGCACTTCATGACATGGGTTGCTATGAAATTTCCCTGGGAGATACAATTGGTGTTGGTACACCTGGTAATGCTTTAAACCTCCCTCTATCTTAGATCATTCTGGCAGGAATAGCATTCCAATGCTTCACCACTGGTGTTGCCCTAGTGTGAATCAGTGTTTCCTGTAATGTTGCCTTAATGTTTTGAGTGCTCTTATCAGGAACCGTTGTGCCCATGCTTGAAGCTGTGATGGCAGTTGTTCCTGTTGAGAAGCTTGCTGTCCACTTCCACGATACTTATGGCCAATCTCTTCCAAACATTTTAGTATCTCTCCAGGTAAGAAGTTGGATCCGGAATCTATCAGTCACTTGGTTTTCAGGCAACTCTTACTTTGTGGCAGTCAGAACGAATAGTTGGTCCAGAAATAGTTAGATCGGAAAAGTATGTTCGATTTAGCTTTTAAGTGGTGCTTCCACTCCACCCAGTCACCCACTGTTTGTACCTATATAACTTATCATTTGCTCGTCTCCACAGATGGGGATTAGCACGGTGGACTCCTCGGTAGCTGGGTTAGGCGGGTGCCCATATGCCAAGGGAGCAACGGGAAACGTCGCAACAGAAGATGTCGTGTACATGCTCAACGGCCTTGGGGTGAAGACGAACGTCGACCTGGCAAAGCTGCTCGCCGCGGGTGACTTCATCAGCAAGCAATTAGGCCGTGCACCGGTGTCCAAGGCAGCCGTTGCCTTGAGCCGAGCTGTCGCCGATGCCTCCAAAATCTGAAAGCCCAGCAAGCACCACGGCTTGTCTCCCACGGTCTTGAAATGTATGCTTGCTCTCTTATCTTACAACTATACGTGAGTGAAGAAGAAAATAAACGACAGATTATGTGAACCCAAATGGAATTATCATTCCTAATTATGATTATATGTATACCATTTGCCATCGCTTCATTCAACCGATTTGCGGTTACATGAAGTTTATTGGAAGTAATTAGTGAAGGTGGTTGAGCTGTCTTGACTGTGGAAAGGGAGATTAAGCAGAAAGAAAATTATACTTGATTAGGGTTGGACTTTAATTAACTTGAGCTTTAATTAATGTTTCTTTAGTCGTCACACAGTCTTTTTCCAAGTGAAATTAAAGAGTCACAACTCACACCACAAATGGTCACATCTGAGGCCCCAACTCGCTCAGCAATCATCATCCCTACACGGGGAAGAAAGAATGTTTTGTGAATCGAATGATAATGAACATAGAGAGAGAGAGAGCTGGGGACTGGGGAGCCATTGATGGTGTCTGAAGAAAACAAGGTAGCCTTTTCTTTTGCTGGGCTCGGAAATGGGAGTAGTTGAGATCCCAATGATGGTAGATCACCAAAAGGGACTTTGACTGGTTTAAACCAAAACCCAATAGGAAGGAAAAGAAAGGGTTAATGTTGTTTGATTGTAGTTTTTGTGATCTCAATTGTTGGATGCATGGACATTCTTTATAAGTTGTCATTGCGATATTTAACACTTGAAGTTGCGGATTAGTGTGATCCGTTCCTACTAGTACAAGCTTACAACATTCAATACACGAGGTGCATAATCTTAGTGGTAAGATTGATGCAACATGCAAGTACTATAATTTTTCGGAACTATGATCATGTTGATATGATACCGCCTTTCGCAATATGATCATATGAGCGCGCACTTAAAAGTTGAAACAAAAATTCACATGCCTACCAGCAATGTAGCCAAAGTCGCGCTTTAAAGATTATAAACCTACTGTTTTAGGTCATCAAAATGTTTCTACGTAGAACGTGTTTTTCCCCAACTAATGTAATTCAAAATCGCCTTTGAAGCTTAAAAACTGACGCTTTTACGCTTCTAGATCAACAAAACGCTTCTACGTAGAACTGCGTTTTTTGACTACATTGCCGAGAAATACAGAGAGATGGGAGAGGAGATGGTGATAGATCTTTGCTTTCTATGCCCTAATGATGCCACCTGCCTACTCAATACCCACTCTGGTCTCCCTCTTCTTTTTGCTGGTTATCATTCTTATTGCCATGATGGAAATTTTCCTTCTCCCTGTTTAGTAGCTTGGTTTTGTTGTTGCTGCTAGCTAGCTGCCGAGTTCAGTCAAAACTCAAGACCCTCAATTCCCCTTTTTGCTTACTCTGCACTCAGTGCCACCCTCCCTCACTCGCACAGCTTCTTCTGTTGGAGAGCTTCATCAACTTTGACGGGGGGATGAAATGAATGATGATTATGAGGATGATTTCCTCTTTTCTTTTGCCCTAGGGAGAATCATTGTTATGGAACCACACACACACACTCACTCACATGTAGTGGTTTGCTTTAGAGTGGCTTATGATACACACCTCTCTTGTCTTTTTTTACACCACTTTGTCAAGCTATAGATAACTTACTATTTCTACCATGTAAATATGGCCACTTGTTGAAAGGAGACACTCCACACATTAGTATTAATATGATTTTTTTTTTAAGAATCAAGTTTGGATAGATGTATTTTTAGACATCTTTTCAAAAAAGTATGGTAGTAATAGAGCTAGGTGGACGCTTGTATTTGTATATAAGAGAACTTTTCTTTCATTTTTCGGTTTGAGACTTGTATTGTACTTGTGGGTTGTACCCCAAATCCTCCCCTCAAGCCATGAGCCACAAACATCGTGGCCTCGCCTATAATGATTGTCCATTTTGTTATGCCTGCAATTGTGAGGTAAGACAATGCTGGTCCACACAACTACAGTCTACCACTCCAGATCCGAACTCTCAATCTATGTTCGTTGATTCCTTAACCATCTTGCATCGCCATACATCTCGACACTAGGAACCATATGTTGATTTCCAATTGATTCACCAAATGAAAACTCTTTAATCGCGAGGTCAGGCAATGATGGTCCACACAATTGCAGTCCATCCCCCTAGATTCGAACTATCGAATGAGGCTCTAATACCACTTTGTCAAGACAGAACACTCCAAATTAGTAATTTAGTATGATATTCAACATTTTGAATGGAACCCGTACGTGTGTGTTGTTCGAAGCCTTCACAAAAGCCTCGTATTAATATAACCGGGTACAAATTAAATTAGACAATAAAAGTGCGATCCAAATACCATATTAGATAAATAAAGAAAAGTTCATTTATGTATGTGTCACTATACAATTACTAGGCCATATTTCTTCTAGATATACATCCTTGGTCAATATTTCCATAGAAAAACTAATTAGATTTTTTAGGGAAAGCAAGAATAAAGAGAAAAGATCATCAAACGAGTTTACATTACATCATTGGAGAAGATACAACTGGAAGATTTTGATTAGTACACACGGGGATCCTCTCATGCAACCTTTTGAAGACTCTACTTGATTATTATTTCACTATTTAGTACTATTAATTGGATGGTTAAGGTATTTTTGTATCAAACATTAACAACATTCCTCCTAAATAAAAACTCCACCAATTTAAAGAGAATAGTGTTTGCAAGTATATACAAAGAACGGGAGGCAACGAGCCTGAATACATTATGACTGAAACCGGTTACGAAACCACCTTTTGAGATACCATTTCTCGAGCAAATGTCAATCAAGTCTCATACATCCATCTCCAATACTAGTTTCACCTCCAAAAGAAGAAATGAAGGCATCTCTTGAATCTAGAAGATAGAAGATTGAACTAACGGTATTCGCTACATTTTATGTAAAAAAACATGACCGGCATATGAACCATCGAAAAAATATTAAAGAAACAAGAACAACACTACTAATTCATCCACACTAAGATCTTTTCGAAAATTTGAAAGCCATCAACCAAGTATGTTGATATTATAATGTGTGGAAGAACTAGCTAGCTACCTAGCACATGTTGCCACTACCAAACTAAGTATGGCATTCAATGCTCCACCTTAAAACTCACCCCCTATGTCGACGGTGTGGAACATGGAAAGCAAGCTTTGGGACTCTCAGAATCCCAAAACCCAAAGGAACACATTACATTACATAAACTATGGATGGGATCTTCTCCATTAATTGTCTCAAGGAAGGTTTGTTGTTTCTTCGTTTCATCAAAACAAAAAACCCTAATGATTTCACTCATTCAAGGCCGGATTGAAGATTTCGTGTCCAATTAACAATGAAATGTCTTTGATTGAATAAACTAAGCTAAAGATTCCATGGTCGGAGTGACCAAACTACACTCTACGTCGATCGATGCTTCCATGGATGCTCTGTAATCCGGGAAAACAGAGATGTGTTCCCCGAGAAAGCAAGCATAGCAAGCAAGCAGGTAAATCCAAAACCTATTCAATGCCTTGTAACGTTCTTCACTTATTATAATAGTGATTAGAATAATTAATCCACTTGTAGTGTATACTTATCTTTCTTTGTATTCATGATTAGAGTTAGATATTGCTATGATTATCCGTCTATCTATACCCCATGTCATGTATATTTGAACTTTACTAGGGTATCGACAATACCCATGATAGATTATTTCCTAAGTGGTAGCAAAGACTGGGAAATTAACAAATTTGTAGTAGAATATGCATACAAGTGATTAAATTCATAATGGGTCTTTTCCAACCGGTAGATTTATTGGGAGGAGGTGGTTTATAATATGATATCAGAGCTGGTTTGTCGTTTACATCACAACTTCAACTTTTAACTCCCCCAATACTAACAGTAGTTTTATATATAGCACATGGTAAGAGGGCATGTGCAAATTTGAAGTCCATGAGTTGACTTTTTGTTCGAGAGGGCTAGTTGATTTATGACAAATTATCGTGTAGTTAAGATCCATACATGGGTCTCTCCTAACAACTCGAGTTATTGAGACCAGTTGGTTTATGAAAAATTACGATGTCGTGCCTCTTTTTTTCCTGTTCTTCTTCTTGCATGCAATGTTTTATTCTTGTTCTCGAGTTTGGATCACTTTAGTTTCCATTGCGACATTTCTTAGTTTCACGACAATTGTCTCGTTGATTGAATTACATGTTTGATTTTATGGAAACGTAAGAATGAACTCGTTTTCAGGGGGTGTGAATATAAAACCTGACAGAGACAACAATCTTGGCTTCGTTGAAACTTCACCCAGATAATGAATTCGTGTGGGCACTGATAACTCTATCTACCAGTCATCACTATCAATTGCAACCAGAGACTTCGTGAGAGCGATGGTGGTCGATTCATAGAGACACTCAATATTAATCTTAGAGGTGTAATATACACTTGCTAAATCTCGAATGATAACATTCTATACGATTCTCGGAGAATTCTTTCTAAGAAGACATATTCGATACTTGCCTACTATATTTTATACTACTTTTTCGAATATTTATATTTAGAACACTCTCTAGTCTCTTGATATTGTTTTTTCTCCGTGTTGTTCTAATAGATTAGGTTCCCTTTGTCGGCAAATGTTATTCAAATCTTGCTAATGTGTGTTCTTTATAGCATACCTAAACACATACAGGAAAAGGAAAGCCACACTTTTCTTTGTTAAAATACAGTAGGAGAGGAAAAGGGAAGGCAAAGGGTCCAAAAGAAGCAAGAGGAGGAAAGGCAAAACAGAACTCCCTCTTTTCTGCAGGTTCATAAGGAGAGCCTGTGAGTGGTTGGAAGAGGATCAGAGCACCCTTTTTTGGCTCATAACAAAGAAAGAAAAAGGCTCTGAAATTTTTCAGTGTCCAAAAACTAAATAACCCATTAATCTCTCCTCTGTCTCTTCTCTGTTTCATGTATTAATTAGCCATGCAGTGAGAAGCACTAAACCCTATGCATGTCTTGTTATTGTTTGACCCTCTCTCCTTCATTGACTCTCCCCTCCTCCATTTCCAGAAGCTTTTAGCAGCTCAAACTCCCAAATCTCTCTTCTTTATTCCATTTTTCTACTACACCTTTGAAACCAAACCTCACCCTATACCCCTTTTTCTCTCATCTGTCCTGTTTTTCTCCCCACTCAATAAACAACCATAAACCCCAAAAAGGCCCCAAAAAGAGACCACAGAAGGAAGTCACAGCAGAAAGACATTAAACCCACAGGCCACAGTACATCAGTTCCCCTTCTCATTCCCCCCAGCTAACCTTCTCCTTCTCCTTCCCCAATTCCTATCTTCCTTTCCCATTACCATCCCTTTTCCTGGAAGCCAAAAGGGTACCCCATTCCCCCTCTTAATTTCCATTACATTGATATGATCTTTGCCTTTCCACACCAGACCCAACAAGGAGAAAACTTCCCCACTTTTGCCTCCAAAACCCTCATCACCATTCCTCTTCTTCTCCTTCTTGTTGTGAAAGGTGCATGGTTTCCTTTTTCTGTGTCCAAGTAGTCCACCAACAACGTTGTTTCTTGAAATCAGGCAGATCGAGAACTATAGTATGGGTGTAGTAGTAGTAGTAGTAAGAAGGCCCATTTTGGTAGTACTGCTGCTTCTCTTCTTACAGCAACCAACTCCTTCTTCCTCTTCTTCCAGAAGGTTTGCTGCTATAGCTGTGGCTTCTCCTCCTTCCCCTGCATTTCCCCCTCCTCTTCCTCTTCCTGCCTCTTCTTCAGCTCATAAGAATCATCATCAAGAACTTGGAGTTGGAGGGCACAGCAACGAAGTTAGTAGCAGTGAAGAGGGAAGTGTGGTCAGCAATGTTGGTGGCGTTTTCGACGATGAGAAGAGGAAAATCTACACAGGTCCAAACCCTTTACACAATAGATAAATAAAAAGTTACTGCGAGTAGTAACTAGCTATTAGCTCAATTAGCCAAGGAAGAGCTTTTTTTTTTCTTCTTCTTCATTTTGTTGTATTTCCTTCTTTCTTTTGTAATTTTGTTTCTACTGGGTTCATCTATTTTTGTCCACATATAATGAAGAAGAAGATGAAGCTGCCATGAGAATGAGTTTTTTTTCTTCCTTCTTTCATTTGTTTATTTCCCACCACCACCATGCTCTCTTTCTTTTTTTCCTTTCTTTCTTTGATTGGTAATGATATTGTTGCTTGACTTTGTATTGAAGCTTGTCAGGAATTGCATATACAAAATTTTGAATGTTGTATATTTACCCCTTGCTGATCCTTTTCTCCCCACTACCTTTCTGGGGATTATTGCAGCAGAATTCAATGTGGGGATGTTATTATAATGTTTGATTTCTCTTGGAAATAAGAGAACAGAAAGAAGGTGAATGGTGCATGGAAAGATAAGAGTAATAAACAATGATGATGAAATTTGGGTGGGCATTGATGTGTGTGGGAGGTTGTTGTTGTTGTTGGTGGTGTTAAATGTTGGGTTGAAACCAGCTGACAGTAGTGTATATATTTATGGCTGCTTCATTGTTTTCCACTTTTTGGTGGGTTGTTTGTTCACTCACTGTTTCCATGAAGGTAATTAGATCTTTTATATTGTGCTCTAAATACATGTGTTTTGAGGTATGAATTTGTTTTATCATGTTAAAATTATAATTTGAGTTTGTATTATAAAAAAATTTGTATATTTATGTTATGATACATGTTTCGGTTTGCATGGTACAAATTCAGTTTGTGCCATAAATAAATTGTACAAAAAATATATAGGTACAAACTAAATTTGTACCATAAGACTAATTTTTTCAAAATCAAATACAGTTGTTATTGTAAAATCGTAATTAACCACTAATGATTCATTAACTAGTCATTAGTTTTCACTTGGGTTGTTGTCACTTTTGGTGTTATTATAGCTAATCATAAGATTTTCTCTAATACAATAATTAAAAAGAGAAAAATGTGCTCCTTCAAAAGAATATAAAAGTAGAAGAATGTGAAAGTTCTATTAAGTTACTTTTTTCTTAATGTTTTTTTGTTAAGTTCTGTTGAGTTACTTGATGGATAGTTTATGGTAAGTAATCAAGCCTTCAAGCTTTGAAGTTACCTTTTTTTTTCACACTTAATAATGTTGCTATCCGGTGGAAGTTAGGTGTATTCAAACCTAACTAATGGTTGCTATATATTGACCCAGACACTAATAAGGGACCATTAATTCTTAGTACATGAATTAGAAAAGTCCATCTAACACACTTGAGCACCTCATCCTTAGCGAGGGATATGTGGATGGCAATGGGGTGGATTTGATATTCATAGTTTTATTATTATACTAAAATGGTTCGGACTTTTTTTTTTTTAATACTCTCGTGTTGATATGTGTTAGTTTGGATAATATTCTTTTGCGAAAGAATTTTAGTTGAATTGAAGTACATGTAACCTTGAATTTTTGAATAACAATATTAAGACATGATTCACAACTTTTTCAACCAAGTTTCAATGAGGGTCTTCGGTTTATTTATGGTTTCTGAGAGAAACTATGTTGAGTTACTTCTATGGAGAGTTAGAGAGAGTTTTGGAAGCTACAACCATAAATAATTTGAAGAGCAGTTGACTTTCATCTTTAGCCTTGTAATTTTTCATTCTGCGGTCTCTCTTCAACTCCCACAATGCTTGAGGTGATCTCGATAGCGTACTTTGTGTCTAGAGCTGAAAATGAGTTGAGCTTCTCTTCGGCTAAAAACTCATTCGATACTCAGCTCGATAAACCTAAATCTTGTACAACTCGCGAGCTAGCTCAAGTCAGTGGCTTATTGGACTCAATTCGTGAGGTGACTCGACAGTGTGGCTAGCGAGTCACCTTGACTATTGACTTATGAGCATATCGATCTATAATTTATGAGTTGCCTTGCTAATAATTAATATGTGTTGTTAAATTATGTAAATCACCGTATGTGATGTTTAAGAGGTTGAATACCTTAGCAAAAATATTTTGTTTATAATTTCAAAGAGAAATTAGGTAATATAGATTGGTTAGATACTAATTACTAATAAATAAGATGATATACACTAGTTAAAATTAAAAACTAATTAACGTAGCATGAGACTGATTAATGATAAAAATTGACTATTATCATTTTTCATTGTGAAATTAATATGTATTATATATGAAAAAGGGTTATTTAATTTTAAAAATTATTTAAGTTTACCTTGGGGATTGAATATTTAGAAGGGTTAATATATTTGTATGGCCCAAACTTTTAACAAATTAAACATTCTGATCAATTTTTTTCGTTCTATAACATTGTGGTCTCAACTATGCATCAAAGTTACGAAATTGGCCAAACCCAATATTTGACCTTATCTTGAACGGTCAAACACGTTGACTAACAATCAACAAGCCACGTCACTGCCAAGTCAACAAAAACAACTTAAAATTTTTGGGTTTTTCCACTTATTACCATGTATCTTTTTCAAAATAAAAACGGGCGTTCCTTTTTTTCTTCTTTTGTTCAAAATAAAAAAGATAAATGATAATAGGTGAAAAAAATCAAATTTTTTAAGTGGATTGCGCTGACTTAGCAGTGACATGGCGCGTTGATCATTAGTCAACGTGTTTAACCGTCCAAGATAACGGTCAAATCTCAGTTTTGGCCAATTTCATAACTTTGATGCATAGTTGATGTCACGTTGTTATAGATCGAAAAGATTAACCATGATATTTAATTTGTGAAAAGTTTAGACCATACAAATATATTAACCCTAATAAATTAACCCTAATAAATGTGGTGGAATTTGGAATCGAGCCGATCCATGAGGCATACTCGAGTAGGCCTCTTGAGCTCAGTTATGAATTCGTATGGAGTCAAACACAGCCAAAATTTCATTAAACGAGCCGACTCAAACTGAACTCCCTGCGCTGCGCGTCCAAATTAGGTCAAACTCAGACTGATTTGTTTCCGTGCCATGCCTTAGATGCACACCTGGTGAATCATGGAGAATTCGCGTCGTGAGAGGAACCATCCCCCTCCTAAATTCAGCCGCTTGTTCCAACAATTATTCAGCAGATTAATGACAACTTATTATGGAAAGCGTTTTCTTTGTAAATCACATGCTACTACCAGTCTTTCATCCATTTTCCAACGATCACGCCAGTTGACTTTCGCCTCCCAAGGCTGCAGCAAATTTGGGTGCTACTGCTACAATGTGCTTCTGTAGCTTTTCTGCTTCAAACACCATAAGACAGCAAAAGGCTGAAACCCAAAAGACGGCATCAAAGATATAAGCTAAAAAGTGTCTTTCCATTACGGGTAGACAATTGGGGAGTTTCTTAAAACATATGTTCCCTCAGACCAGAATCCTTTCACCTATGCAACTGAAAAGGTGCACAACACCAGGACTCAGCAAGAAAGTAAAATCTACATTCCTCTCAACAGTTCCGAAAACAACAACTCTCCCAGTTCCTCCCAATGTTGAACCAATCAGGCATGCCATGCAGCGCATTGCATCACTCGTGAAGAGTTCCAAGGATATCCTCGTCCCGGTAGAGATGATACCTGAAACATTGACGAGATGCCAAACAAGCACGGCGTCAGCTGATAATTCAAAGTCTGAGGCCATATAGACAGTTAGTGTATACAGATTTAGAGGTTCACTTGCAAGAAAAAAACAAACAGAAACAGAGAATCAACAGAAACCAAGCAAATTCCTGACTGCAAACAATGCAACTTTCCAACTTCATCTTAACATTCCAGTTTATTGCATCCTAAAGAAAACGATATTGTGAAACACACAGGCAACGGTCGCTCAGTCGTGACAACGGTTTTCCAAGAAAATTTCTACCATATAATTAGGCATGAAAACTACATGTATTGAGAAACATTGGTGAAACCTAATGATCAGAGTATTTCCCGATTCTCAGGATATATTCTAACCCAAAAGAAGCCAAATTGCATAACATAGCAGCATCTACATCCTAACAATCTCAAGTATGTCAAAGGAATTAGAGCACTCACTCTTTATCAGCAAGCTTCACTTCCATGCCACCATAGTCGGGCAAAAGAACAGTGTCTCCTTCCTTCACAGCTACAGGAATATGGTTTCCATTCTTGTCACGAAGTCCAGGACCCACAGCGACGACTTTGCCAGAGTTAAGCTGCAATCAGGCAACGATTAGAATAGGTAGACATGATCCAATATAGAGCAACAACGACTGCTTCATAAAAACTAGTGCAGGGCTTATCAAACAATGGGTAAGCACAAAGGGTGTTACGCTGTCAAGTTCAAACAAGTTGCATACAAGTACCACATCTGAAAGTGATTCTTATTCAACAATTATCATCTCCTAATCCTATTAGGGGACCGTTTTGATAAAATTATCGATAAGTTAAGCTGGAAACTAAACATTCTCAATCACCCACCACCCGAAACCGAAGCTAAGATCTGGGAAACTGAAAAGAACGATCTGACAATGAGCAACTCTTATACCAAGGAGACACAAATGGCGATTTCGAACGAACTAAGATTGCTTCTAAGCCCCAAAATGGGAAATGTTCCCAACATCCAAGTTCGAGAGAGTACCAACGGAAGAAGATGAAAGGAATCGAGCTAGAAGATTGATAGGTACCTTGGATGTTTTCTCCGGAAGAAGGATGCCGCCGGCTGTTTTGGAAGGAGCAACAATCTTCTCGACCAAAATCCGATTCAAGGCCGGAATCAACCGCTTCGCCATTTTCAGGAAGCTTACTTGCACGAGAGAAGAGGTATGAGATGCGGGGAGGGAAGGGATCGGGCCTGCGTACGGTATCAAGCAGCGACGGTGCAGGGAAGATGGGTTTTAAAATGGAGGGTGAGACTGCTGTGTAGAAGAATTGCAGAGGGTAGGGTTTTGGAAGAAGGAAGACTAGAACCTTCTTAAACCCTAACCGGCTCCGCCTAACCTTGCGCCTTGATGTTTGCTAACTTACGCCTGGTGTGAAAAAATCGCAAAACAAAATTGTCTTGTGACCGTGAGACGTCTTGATGGGCCGGATGATGGGCTTATTATGTTTCTGGACTTGCTTAGATGGGCCGGACTCGACTGGCATTTCACGTAATCGAGCCGCATATGGACCTACTCGAAGGAAAGACTACACCAATCGAGGTAATCACAATTCACAGGCAGAAACCGAAATATAGACGGAACAGCTCCGATGACAGAAGTTCATACTATACTCTACAAAAGAGGAGATGCACCAAGAAATTTTCCAATGATTTCGTTTGCAGGTCTATCCATAAAGCAAAACATGATACTTCTGCAACTCCTCACAGCAAACCGAATAGTTCAACGGCTACTCAAACCAATGTTACACACACAACAGGAGGAATGAAGACTTGATTTCTGCATTGCGACGATCATCACGACTTCAAGTACCTTTGTGCTGCATCCAAGCTAAGTTCTTCATACACCTGCACCAAGGAAGATCAGAACTCAGATATGCTTTCTCACATCTGCTAACCAGAAATGGCAACTTCAAGATATATGGGATTTATGTATCCGGTGGGGTCGTTGGAATTGCATACAAGTTTTCTGTGAACTTGTTGAAAGGCCTTGCAGAATCTCTTAGCTTCTGCTGCACCAACCTGTTCAACACCAGAATATTCGTTACAAAAGCATCAAAACCCAGAACAAACATTGTAACTGTTGATCAATCCCATCTCCCACGCTAGGCAGCATTAGGGTAGCCAGTCACACCACAGATAAGTACTCATAATGATAGCAAGTCACAAGAGGCTAAGTACTCATAATGATAGCCAGTCCATGGACAGAGATTGTTGCAAAACAGAATTTGCTCCAGATTACAACTAGTTAGTCGTTATCGCCTATCATGTTCAGCTAGTTAACTGTGATCAGGACACTTAAACTTTCATAATGAAGCAATGCAGCAAATAATCTCCGTGTCATCCACGCCAAGCAAACAAGAATCCAATATTATCACCCGAATTACTATCATAGATTCCACCGTTTCAACCAATAACTTTTATATCACCATTATCAGGGGGGAAAGAACCAATAACTGTTCTGTTGCTGTCCCAATGAATATCAAGTTTTGAATTCGACTTCAAGTTTAAAAGGGAAGCACATCAAATCTTGATGCAAATCAAATGCCAAGAACCATACCTTCTTTTCAGCAGCCAACTTTAGCTTCTCCCAGAACGGATCTGTTGGAATATAACAAGAATAACAAAAAGATGATTACTTGATGCTTGAAATTATACAATTAAATCACCCTCCAAGAATGATGAATCAAAAGGAAGAAATGAAGCTGATTTTCTAGAAGTATGATCACTATTCCACAATCAAGAACAAAAGCATTGTGAGTTTAGTAACATACCACGAAGATCAACACCATGATCCCCTAATTCCTTTGCGTCTCCTAGCTCCTCTTCCAGGGTATCTTGCCATTCTTCCTGCCGTTGATCCAAAAGTACAGCAGTTCTCTCAATACTTTTATGTTCAAAGCAAACGAATCCGAAAGCGAGCACAATCAGAAAGCGTAACAAGGGGCTAATTCAGTGACAAATACCTTCTCTTTTAGCTGTGGGCGCCGTGACGATGTCGATTGCTTCGATGGGTCTGAATCAACCTGAGGTATAACATCTCAAAACTAAATCAGTTGTGTACAACTAGAACAATCAAACTGCAGGTGAGCATCCCGGTGAACCATGATTCCTCTTTCCACCGCCCATCGCCATTCATTCAAAAGCTCGGGAAGTAAGTAGCGAAACCCTAATTCAAGACACAGACAAGACAAAGCAGAGAACTGGAAGCGAATGGAGAAGGAAGAGGAGGAGAAATCAGGAAATTACATGGTAATCGAAGGAACGGACGACGGGGAAGAGTTCAAGGCGGGCTCGGAACTCTTGTTCATCCATTTTGAAGTGTCTGGTTCACCGCAGGTAACGGCGGTAGCCTCGTCTGTATGCTTTTCCCTCGCCGGCGGCTCAGCTTCTTCGGTGAGAAACCTGATAAGAGATTTTGTGTTGACTCTTGCTACGACCACTTCGATTCGATCCAGCGGCTTCCGAGTTGCAGATCCCTCGGAAATAACGGGTTAGTTGTTAAATTTTGGCAAATATCTCTATAGCACCTTATGCTTCAACACATTTAAAATGGTCCAAAATTTTCAGAAATGCCAACTACACCTACGAATTAAATTGTTATGACGATAACAATTATTCGAGTTTGATGTCCATCGTTAGAATTTAAAAATAAAATTTTGAATAATCCACTTCAATGGCAGCATGTGGCACAATATGAACTGTTCTACATAGAGAATGAAGAGCTTTTATGTCGACTACAATTGTTAGCAACTCACTACTGAAAAAGAATATATAGCGAAAACGCTAAAGCATTGAACACAACTACATTACTCCAACCAAACATACTATTTACAACACTCACGTGAATGGATAACCGATGCTTTTCTGTTTTGGTAAAGACGGGAACCGAGCGACTACTCTAAGAGGTCCATTCACCTTAGTCATAGGTAACCTTTCGCCCGTGCAAGTTACTAGGTGAAATAACTTGGTACAATTGGGAATGGAATCAAATGGGTGGGATCTCGAGTTTGTTCGTTAATGTGAAGATCAGACTAAGAGTTTTTTTTTTAAGATGAATCATTTAATGTATCATGCAAATGATAGATGAGAAATTTTACAATGCTATATAGTATTAGTGCTATAGGTTTTTGCCTTTATGGTACAACTTAAAATTGTACATTTACGTTATGGTACAACTTCATATTGTACCTATACTTTTTGTACAAATTCTTTTATGGTACAACTTAAACTTGTACCTTTATGTGATTGTACAACTTCTAGTTGTAAAGTTGTACCATAACATAATGGTACAAATTGCTTTATGGTACAACCTAAATTTATACATTTGATGTTATGGTACAACTTTGAGTTGTACATTGAAGCACCAATACTATATAGCATAGTAGAAGTGCTCATGATAGATTCATATAGGATGACAACGAAATTGTGTTTTGTAAGTTGTAACATGATAAACATGTCTCACTCACATTCTCATGCAAATAGTTGAGTTATTTTCTAATGTTTCATAGTTTAGTGACCATTTTGTGACTTTCCCTTGCCATATGGGTTCCTACAGAAAATAAAATTCCATTACGAAAGAAGGACCCAGAAAGTAAATTGCATACAACGAGGAAGAAAGCCGAGGCAGCCGCAGAACAAAGCGAAGCGGGGGGGAAGGAAGAAGAAAAGCAAAGGGAAAAACGCACACAAGGTTGAACGAGAATGACGAAAGACCAAGGAGGAGGAGGAGGAGGAGGTGAAGAAGAAGAAGAAGAAGATATAGTTTGTTTGGATGAATCGTTCTTTATCAATGACGAGTAAGTATTTACAAATTAAGGTTTACCTTTTCTTCTTCTTCCTTCTTTTTGCTCTAAATTGCTCTCTTCTACTTCTCCAACTTCCCTCCCTTATACAGTTACCAATTGACGACTTTCACATTTGGGTCTCATGTTCTTCAGCTACTCTGCCTTCACTCTGCTTCCAGTGAGGCTTCTCCCCCCTAGTTGATGTTTTTATGCTCATATGATCGATGCCCCATAGTGTTTTCTGTGTATTACTGATATGTATAAACTGGGTTCAACTGAGAATCTGAGATTAGCAACTTGACATTGAATCAGCGAGAATAAGAAGTATAATGGAACTCTGGAATTCATTGCACAAATTTGAGTAGTCAAAGAGCACCAAGTTACCAACTTTACCAACTAAACGAGTGGTCTGGTGTAAACATGTAAAGATAGTTATAGCCAATGTTTCACCATGTTCTTTACTTGCCTCGAATGAGGAGACAGCACAACTGAGTTATTGCAGGTTTTCTTTTGTTATCTACAGTAATTGCTGATTGCTGTTGTTTCTCAGATGATAATGTAACTAATCATATACTTTTTCACAGCTGATTTTGATTTGACAGGGCAACTGGTGTGGCCTGGTGCCACAATCTTAAACAATTATCTCTCTAATCATACTGAGATGCTTCAGGGTTGTTCTGTACTCGAGTTAGGATCTGGTGTGGGTAAGACTTACAGCAAACAAGTTTTCATCCTTCTATTTGGAAAAGCTGTTAGGCACTATTCTGCCTGCTGGTGATCTCATGGAGGTTTCTTTCATTTTCTATGCTGATGTGCAGGTGTCACTGGGATTCTTTGCAGCAGATTCTGTTCAAGAGTCGTGTTGACGGACCACAATGATGAAGTTCTCAAGGCAAGGTTGCAACTTGCAAGATACATGTCAACCTGTTTAATGCCTGTGTTTCAGCTCCCGTGATTTTGTTTTGTTTTAACAGAATGTCGTTGTTTGTTTTCAGATCCTTAATAAGAACATAGAGATTCAGTCGTCCTCTGAGAATCCTTATCCTTGTGCTGGTAAGAGGAAAAGATTTCAACTTTATGTTTTTCTCCATGTTCACATTTTCATCTAAACCATCTGCAATGCAGAATTACATGCTGAGAAGCTAGACTGGGGGAACTCGGATCAAGCCAACCAAATTCTCCAAAAATCGAATGGTGGTTTCGATCTGATTCTCGGAGCCGATATCTATATCCTTTTGACTCTGCTCTTTTGCGTTTTCATATTCATGTATTCGTGCTGCAATCTCATAGTGTGCTTTAAGTTTGGGAAAAGAAAACTGTGCATCCAAATTTCAATCCTTGACAGTGGGTTAACGTTTTCAGCAGTCGAGCATCTGTCCGCTTTTTGACACTGTGGAACAGTTGCTTCGCTTTCAAAGAGGCAAAACCAAGTTCATATTGGCTTATGTGTCCCGAGCTAAAGCGTATGGAACTGAACTCTTTCATACAGTCTGCTTTACAGGGCCCTTATAAATGCGTTCCGTTGGCTTATCTAGAAGGGGTTCCCTCTGTATGTGGCACTCATGTAATAGTTGTGTGGTGCAGGATGGACTCATTAGTAATTAAACAAGCTGCGCAACATGGAATGAAGGTGAAGGAAGTAACTGGTACTCGATCCATTGTAGGCAACCATGAAGGAGTCATCTTTGACATTTCACTTGAGTAGTGAAGCAATGAATCTCTCTCGGTTTTCTATCTTCGCTTGGGGACAGATATCAAGTTTGCAGACGTTGGGAGGTTTCCAGAAGATTATGTGCACAAATCGAGATTGCTTGTGGCTGATGAATGAACTAGCAGGTCGTCTTTAAGGGACTTGAGGGAGCCAGCCACTAGTACTTTTCTAGGCCTATTATGCCATTGTTGGCCTCGATGGAAGTTCATCTTCCGAAATTTTGATGATTCTCATGTTTTGAAATTGCTTCGTAGAAATTCATTTCTACACATCAAGATTGGAAACAAGTTGCTTGCCGGTAGTTTTACCATGCATGTATCCTTTTTGTTCACTTTACTTGAGAGTTGAATTATAGATCCTCTTCGGAACCACTTGGATATATGAATGCAGCGGAACAAGAGTAGTTCGAGAAATCAAGGAAATTGGACAGTGGACTCGTAATCAAATCTGCCCAAGGGTATATTCCAAATCATTCACCACCATTTCAGCAATTACAACTATAAAAGGCTAGTAAGTAGTAATTGTTGTCCGCAGTGGCCACGAGATGGAGGGCAGTTAGAACAATGAATCAAGTGGGAGATGCCAAACTCTTTCCTACCATTCTTGAAGCACCCCTTAGAGATGATGTAAAAGCTATCGCTGTTTCAGTTCTTCATAGGTGCTTGCCAACTTCCTCTATGTCTTTCGAAACACAGTATCGTAACCAAGCAGCAAGTGTGAGTCCATCTGTTGTGCAGCTCATGAGGATACAATCCAACTTTCTATCTATAGCGATTCATCCATACTGGATGTAGCTGTTGAGTTCATCTTCAGCCCTTTACCATATGCAGCAATGAGCAAAGCCTCTGCTCTCCCTGCAAAATGTACAAAGCGATCAAAGAGGGGGGAATTTTATTAAGTTGCATTAATCACGTTCATGAACAGCACCCCTGTTATCAGAATTGAGCTTGGACTAGCTACATCATTTCAGATCCAGCTTCAGCATGAAAAGGGTAAAGAGTCTATATTTTCCAATGTAAAACTGTACTGCTAATTAAGGAGGCACGTAAGTACCATGATCTTTTTTCCTCGCAAGCGAGGAACTCAATGACGGAAATAACATTGATGCTCTCCTACGACTCTCATCCTGTCAAAATCCAGAATCAAAATCAAGTGACGTTCATTCACTGTACACTGATGCCATTTAGAATGTTGGTAAGAGGAATGCAGAATAGCCACCTTTGTTGCAGTCTCCCCAGTAAGTTTGAATTCATTCTTCCATGCAAGAGATGGTACTGGAACTACCGAGTAGCCAGAGGCAACTAATACTCCAATCCACAATCCATAACCAAACCCACCACTCCACCAGCCCTTCATCAAGAAACATGATATTTGGAATTAGAAAAGGCATCCAAACAGCAAATAGCATGGGTTTTTTCGCACGCTTAAGCAACAACAGTCTCAAAGTTGATACATGAACTATCGTCACAATGCGGCAAGTGTTGGTTATTCTAGAACTATAGACCATGAGCCTCGTTGAAAGAGCAAGAAATGTAGGTTAATAGGCAACTCAATAGTGATCTACAAACGAAGTGGAAACATAATTTACGTAAGGATACCATGTGACAAAGGAGTCTGTATACTAACCTGTTTCCCATCTTGTGGATATGGAATTGATTGCTCTATGTATGCAGTAGTTCCTGAAATGAGGAACTCAAACAATGATTATGAAATTTGTTCAAATCTCCAATGAATCAGAAGAGAGCAGTAAACTAGCACCAACATTATCGGGACTAACTTTCTGAACAAGGACAAGCAGAATTTTCTTTCCACCTCATGGATTGACAGGACAAGTATATCGGCGCAGAGACTTGCTAAACATCAAGATTCAAACAAGCCAGATTCAAAAAACTCAGGCTAAACGGTTCAACTAATGCCGTACATCACTTGTGTGTGGTTTGCCTTCTCTTCTGCAAGCATAGACTTGACCTGGTTCTGGTTGCCTAAGGCCCTGGTATTCTAGTCTCTAGCTTCTTACTATCAAGTTCATTGCAGCTGCTGGTACCATACCATCATTCACAAATGATACATCATAAACTTACCCTCAAATACACTACACCACTGTAAATAAACTAAAGACTTGACGAAAAGTAATCTTATTCCTCAGATCTGGGAAGTGAAGCAGTAGTAACACATCTGTGAAGTAATCAAGTTACATTCAACTGGTCCCAAGTTTCAGCAAATGACTAAAAATTTGAAACTAAAAGCCGGGGAGAGGACGATCATTACCAACTGGTGCATCAAAACTACGAAGCAACTGAACAATGGATTTAACATCTAAACGCTTTCGGATTCTTTTGCCAACCACCACTTTCAAGCTAGGAGAATCAAATACCTGCAGACAGTAACATATTCAATTGTTTTTCGTCAGCTCAAGAACCCTACACTTCCCTCATGATAGAACAACGACGAAGCTTGGACACACTGACGCAATGTCACAAAGTTTCAATCTTTACTACCTCCAATTGCACTCCGGCCTAAATAACCTAACAAAAATTGGAGCTTTGGAAGTTGAAAATCCTGAGCTTTCAGCAGCAACAGTTCAGAAATTGGAGAAATTACCTGGGCGGAGCATACAGAGTCCTCAGTTTTCAACAGGGCAATAGCACCGGAGAGGTCCGGGTCAATACCCACGACCCAATTCGAACCCGGACCGGCCGACGAGTCCGCGCCGCCAGGAGAGGTTGACGGTTCGTCGTCCTCAGTTAACAGAGGCAAAGGGTAAGTGAGGGAATCAAGCCAGTTCTCCTTGAGCCGCGCAACTTCAGCTGCGGCAACGACAGCCTTGGCAGGTACAACAACTCTAGAAGAAGAGTAGCCTCTGCTGCTCAGTGGAAAAGGCGACGGCGGAATCACGGCAGGCGATAATGCAGTGCAGAAGACGCGCTTAACGGTCGGGAAACGCATTAATGGAACTTGAGAGCTTGGGGATGCAAGAGCTCGGGGTTCGATTTGGAGGATTTCCATTGTTAAAGGTTCTTGCAGAGTAACAGAGGAACTAAAAACCCCAGTGACTGTAGCGATCAATTTGAAAATCTTTTGTTCTTTCTTTATTTTTCACCGATGTCGCATATTTGAAAAACTGAAACTAGCGGAAGCAAGGTTGTCAAACCGGTTTATGCCAGTGTGCCGGTTTAGCAAGTGGAATGGTTCGACCGGTGGCACATACCGGTTTGTGCCGGTTCATGCCGGTCAATATTACAAATATAATTAGAAATACTCATATTTAAACATGACATTTAACGTCAATACCTTAACATTTATACTTGAATCCAACAAATAACATCAATATTTAACTTTTATACTCATAAAATAAATAATAAAATAATTTTTATCAATTAAATTCCCTAAAATAAAGTCATTTTACTTAGAGATTCGTATATCGATCATGCCGGTCATACCGGTGGTGTCACGCCGGTTTTATGACCGGTATCGGTTGAACCTGGTACAACCGGTGGCACGCCGGCCGGCATGACAACCATGAGCGGAAGGCAACCTTTTCACTTCTGATAAAATGGGAACTAAAAGTGACATATGTGGTGAATAGGGATGGCAACAAAACCCGAACCCACGGTTACCCACCCGACCCAACCCGGTCAACGCGGGTAAAACCCGTGTTGACGGGTTTTGGGCCGGGTTCGGGTTTAAACCCGCTACACTATTCACCGGGTCGGGTTGGGTTTGGGTTTAGGTAAACCCGACCCATGGGTATCCGCCCACACACATATAATTACTTTCCCGGTATATTTAATATTCTAAATAATATATCTTCCTTAAACAATTAATATTCTTTATGTTTGTGGAGACATGTATAATTTGTTCTTTTTAATTTTTTAGAATGAAGTTGATATTATGAAGTGGAGAGTGAAGAAACTTAGTTAACGAGGAAAAAGCTTTCAATTAATCTTTTGTTTATAGATGTTTATCTTTAATTTTGAACAATTTGTATTTATCATTTGCGGTTTGCTTGTATGCTCTAAATTGGTGTTTTTTTGTATGATTAATTTGTATGAGAAAATTGATGTTAAACTTTTATTTTGAAAGAAACTTGTTATTGTAAATTTTTTACCACAAAAACCCACGGGTACCCATGAACCCGCGGATACCCAGCGAGTTGGGTTGGGTTTGAGTTTTTCAAACCCAACGGGTTTTACCCCGGGTTTTTTTGGCGGATAAACCCATGGGTTTGACAAAACCCGCCCCAACCCGACCCATTGCCATCCCTAGTGGTGAATAGGGATTGAGGATTTTTTTAATTATTATCTTGGTTGATGCTTAATACATGATAGTTTTTTTTCAATTTCATAACTACAAACGAGATAATACGAGATGAATTAGACAAATTTTCATCTAACCACATTGTAATGAAGTATGGAAAATAATGGGGAAAAATCCCAGAATACACCAATTATTAAAAAAAAATTCCCTAAATACAGTACTTATAAAACTAATTCCCAAAGTACAGCAGTTTCAACATCACTGTCTTGGACAAAGACAGTGATACTAATCACCGCTTTCGTCCAAAACAGTGAAGCAGCGGGGAACGTATCACCGCCGTAGACAAAAGCGGGGAACGTATCACCGCCTTGGACAAAAGCGGGGAACCTATCACCGCTTTTGACAAAGGCGGGGAACATATCCCCGCTTTTGACATCAACAGGGAAGGCATCCCCGCTGCAGTCAACAACAGTGATTGCCTCACCGCTGTTGTGCAAAACGGTGATATTTACCACGTTTTACATAGCCCTGGTAGGTGGAGAAGAAGGTAACAGCTACCTAGCTATCACCGCTGCTGACTAAGGTGATGATGCTATCACCGCTGTTGACTGAAGCGGTGATTAGCTTTCAATTTTTTCTATAAAAACCGACGCCCACTTCCCTCCTGCTGCCTTATAACTTTCCAACACAAAAATTATCATTTTTTTAGTCGTTTTCTCAGCTGGTTCCTCCGTAGTTTACTGCTCAAGAAACTCGTCGGGATTCGGTATGTTAGATCATGTATTGTTTACATTTTGATGATGTGTTAGAATTAGGTATGTTAGAATTATATATTTAGATTAATTATGATATGATAGATGTTAGTTAGTTAGTACTGAATTTAGATTAATTTGTTTAGTTTTCTCATGATAGATCGGGATTGAGTATGTTATAAGTATGTATTTTTTACATGTTGATGTGTTAGTAATTATATGTTTGTATTTAGTGAATTGCGGTTATTGGAAAATATGTTATGATATATTTAGTTTAATTATGATATGATAGATGTTAGTTAGTTAGTTATGAATTTAGATGAATTTGTTTAGTTTTCTCATAATAGATCAATTAGTTGCATTTTATTATCGCTTTGGATGATATTGTTTTTGTATCCATAATGTACTAATTATATACTATACTTAATTATTATAAATTGCAGACATGGGTAAATTTAAGAAGTTTCGGCTTATTATTTATTGGAATGGTCGGGTGACAAACTCGAACATTGGGATCGACTATGAAAATGGCGAATCCAGTATGCTTACAATTGAGTCGAGATTCTCGTGGCAAGAACTCCATGACAGGTGTGCAGAAAGGACTTGTACGGGCGGGCAAATGAGAGTTCGTCAAATTACTTACCGGTATCCCAACATGAGTGCTGACGGAGTCATGTACGAAAAAGTTGAGATAAATGATGATGACGACGCGAACATGATGATACAGTTCATATCTGAGAACGGGGCGCGGCTTGCAGAGGTGTATGTCGAGACCGAGCCGGTCGGTGAAACTCATGCTCACCAGTATTCTTATGATGATGGTTTTGCAGGAGGGTATGGCTGGGGTGGTAGTTCAAGTAACTACGGAGCAGATTCTTCTGCCGGAGGTTATGGTTGGGGAGGTACTTCAAGCAACTACGGAGGAGGTAGTTCTGAAGGAGGTGTTGGGTGGGAAGAATACCGGCCACATGGTGGTGAGACTGGTGTCGATATCGTTCCCCCCGACGGTGATCAATGGCCTGCTTGGGGTCCAGAGTGGGGTGACATTGAAAACACCCTTCGATCTGGGCGTACTTCGCATGACCAAGAAGGCGATGCTGGTTATGCTGGTAACGATGACCATCCTGAGTCGAGTTATCCATTCGCCTCCAGTGACGATGAAAGTGAGGAAGATTTGAGATCAGTCAGTGAGGAGGAAGATACGGACGATATCGACGAGATCGATGACAGTGAGGTGGCGTTCCGTCAGGCACCAACGCCTTACTACACAGAGGTTCCTGATCAATTTTTATATGGTCAGAACGATGCCCCTGACTTTCGGCCCATGCCTGTGTATAATCCGACTGCTAATTTGGAAGTGGGTATGGCGTTCACTTCGAAAGCCGATGTGCAAGACGCTTTTAGCGAAGAAGCCATGCGGCGTAACTTCGAATGGAAGGTAAAATATTCTGACAAGGGACAACTGCATGTCATTTGTAAGAATGTTGGTGGTCGTTTGTATTTGTTCCGATCCACCTAATTAAGCAAAAGTACATATATAAGCAATTTTTAAATTAGCTAAATACGATTTGTTTAGAATAAATCCAAATTCACTTACTTGGAAGATATCTAAATTCACTAAAATACTAGAATTGCATACTTAAAATGTCTCTAAATTCGCTTAGTTGGAAGATAGCTAAGTTCACTAAAATACTATAATTGCATACTTAAAATTGCATACTAAGTTCACTAAGTTCACTAAAATCTAAATTCACCTAACTAGCTACCATTGCATATCTAAAATAAATTCAACTTAAATTGAACTTACTTGAAACCATATGGGGGATTTGCTACAAATCGTAGCTCATCATCTGGCAACCAGAATTCCCGAGGGTCTTGAGGTGCGAGAAACGGAAGATGCTCCCATGCCCAGAGCTGAAGTATGAACATCGCACCACCAGCTTGTTTCGCTCCCAACCTCGAGCAAGTACACAACTCTGGTAGATTCCAGCCAAGACGGCCGACCCCCAACTTTTTCTCCCGATCTCGTCCCAGTCACCGAGGAGCATAGGGAACCACATGCCTTGTATCCACTTATTTGACTTGTCGGGGAACAGAAACCCACCAACCAAGCCAATTAGGTATACACGTGCATACCGCTCCACCTGATCTTCAGGAGTATCCGGGCCTATATTAACCTCCAATTGGATGTGGTCAACAAGCCACGGGATCGATACTTGCCCCGCATTCAGTGGTGGATGCCCAACCCCTTCGACGGGCGTGGTGGTCGGCATGTTGAACCCCAAACGTTCCTGAATCAATGGCCCCCAACCATCTTCTGGTTTTCTCGAGTTGTCGATGATGGCATCTCCGGTGATCGGGAGCCCGGTGAGGATGGCAACATCTTTGAGGGTGATCGTCATTTCACCCTCGGGAAAGTGGAAGGTATGCAGCTCAGGGCGCCATCGCTCTGCCATTGCCGTCAGCAGATCGTTGTCAATATCAAGCCTCATAAAGTGCCTCAAATTGTGCAATCCCGCCCTCTCTAGATAGGGCTGCAGTCGAGGATGCCAACGGGGCAATCGACATGTCCCTTGATGACTGATGGGAATAAGTGATTCCTACAAAACAAAAAAACACAATATTGTCAGTCAATAGAAAGCAAAATAAAAACTTAGAAAGCAAAATAAAAAATTTAAAACTATTGAAATAATTTTAGTGTGTCTACCGGATTATTGTTCCAAATTGAACGAGAGCGATGTTGATCTTGCCCGGTTAAATACCTTCGATCCCTTGGGCCAGGATCGATATACAATCTAGGATCGTATATCTCAGCACCCATCTATAAAAAAATATGAAATCAAATCAATTTAAATTTTAGCACCCATGTAAAAAAAAATCACAAAAGAATTAAATAAATTTACGTACTCTCAAAGCCTCTTCGTCCATTTTTTGCCGAAAAGCTAGCGAGAGTATTGACAAAACAACAAAACAAAAACTCTAGTAATTCTTTCTGATGCGGAAGATCGGACTTAGCCGCAACCACAGAGCATACTTAGAACGAAACTAGAGTGAAAAATGGAGGGAGAAAGAAGTATAAAGTGGTGGTGTGGTTTGGAATGAGGGGGGGATGGGTATTTATAGTGTTTGGGGGTGGGAAAGTCTTGGGCATTAATCACCGCCCCGAAGAAACACAGTACCATCACTGCGTCCAACAAAGGCGGTGATGGCGCGGATAGGTGACGTGGCGGCGTGTGATGCGTCGGATTGTGGAGAAAAACCACAATCCGCGCATGACTGCATCGGACGGCAGCGGTGAAGGCGCGGGTGAAGGGGCGGATCGCTGACGTGGAAAGCGGGGCTATCACCGCTTTGGTCTTCAGCGGTGAAGTGCCCGCGCGCGTCCACGTCAGCGATCCGCGCCACTTCACCGCTTTTGGATCCAACGGTGAAGGCCCTCACTGCTTCGCTCATCAACGGTCATGCTATCACTGGCGTCCTTGTAAGCGGTGATAGCATCACTGCTTTTGTCAAAAGCGGTGATGTATCATCGTTTTAGACCAAAACGGTGATCAACATCACTGTCTTAGACAAAGACAGTGATGTTGAAACTGCTGTACTTTGGGAATTAATTTTATAAGTACTGTATTTAGAGAATTTTTTTTAATAATTGGTGTATTCTGGGATTTTTTCCTAAATAATGTGAGGTATTACTATATATAAATCCTTTCGTTTTTTTTATAAAAGATAATAATTGATCAAAAGATATTACATCCTGGATACCAGCCAGGTCTGGAAATCAAAATAACGACTTGTAGTCTGGTACAAAGCAAGGGTCTTTCTAGCCACCAAATGGGTTACCCTATTGTTATTCCGACCTACAAAGCAAACTTTAAGAGCACTATGACTTGTAAACACCCCAATGAGCTCTTCCAAGACCGCCCCAATCTGGACATTATTCGCATCCCTCCTGGTAACTTTGTTAATGATAATCTGAGCGTCACCTTGGAAACAAGCATCCTGAAAGCCCAACTCCAAACACCATGCCACTGCTTCCCGAAGAGCCAGCACCTCAGCCACCAAAGGGTTATCGAGATCCGGAAACTGCACACCACGAGCCAGCAGAATATTCCCAGCGAGATCCTTAAGCATGATCCCTCCTGCTGAATGAGACCCAGGCTTGGTTGCCCCATCCCACATACAGGTAACTGACTGCACCATAGTGGCCATACCCGAAGGAGGTTGAGAAGGATACAAACCCTCAGCCTGGTCCACCGGGAGTCTCACCCATTCTTGGTATTGCTGATAATATTGCCGCAGCAGAGCCGGTATCCCAAATTTTTTCCCTTCAAAGACCACCCAATTACGTGATCGTCAAATACGCCAAAGGAGAGCAACCACTGCCGTGAACAGATGGGGCTGATTAATAATGGACATCAACTTTTTCAAGAACAGGGGGAAGGTATGGCGTGGCAATCCTTGACCAAGATGCTCCAACCCAGCCTGATCCCAAAGGGCCCTGGCTACCCGGCAATCGAAGAACAGATGCTCCATCGTCTCCTTCTCTGCCCAGCAGACAAGACAATGAGGCTGAACTACAACGCCCTTATCGATCAACGCTTTGGTAGTCGGAAGGATGCGACGGAACACTTGCCAAAGGAAAACTTTCAGTTTAGGGGGAATATTAACATTCCATAAACGTATCCAACTTGGCTTATCCATCTAGCTAACCACGGGCCTCCACCACCCATCTTGTTTATCAATCAAAACAGCGAGGTGGTAGGGCGACTTAACTGAGTCTCCACAAAACTTCCATCTCAGTAATCATAAATGTGACTTAGCCCTTATATTTGATTGGTAACTAGAATGTAAACTCCGGGTTGTTCCGAGAGAACTTGTATCGCTCCTTTTTTTTTATCGAAAACCTGGATAGACTTTTATTAATGAACCAACATCGTTACAAAATCCAGTTTGAGTTGGTCAGTAATAAAATCAGGAGGTCTCACTCTCTCTAACCAAACTACGCGCTCATTCCATCTTGTTTCCTCCTACGCCATCAGGTGCGCAACCATGTTGGCTATTCGAGGGCAGTGCTTTCATCTCCCATTCCCCATCTCGTTCAGGATACGACGGATATTGAGGCATACTATTCCCAACTCCGCCTGGGTTCCTTGTACATTATGTAGAGCACTAACAAGATTCAAATAGTCAGTTTCAAGTATCGGGGTTCTTGAGTTCATCAGCATAGTATAATAGTACAGTTATTTGCGAGCCAATTATTACTACGAAAATCAACTTGACATAACTGACCATGTGACCATTGTGGAAACCCTAGTATTATTTCAACACGTAACACTAACGTTGTCCTAACATGTGTTGACTGAGTCTAAAAAAAAAACATGTGTTGACGTGAGTAGCTACCAATGTACAAATCAACACGTTCTTCTTACTTCACCGTTTGTATTGGTCATGCCCTTTCTCTAACACCTTGACGTCTAATCTGAAACTTGACAACCCAAATCTCCTCAATTTCACCCCCTTTCCCCCATAGTAATTAGCAAGTAATTACCAATCATGACTCGTATTTAGGAAAATTCATGACTCACCATTTGACTTTTAAGTTTTAACCTTCATTTTAATGGCAAAAAACCATATCCTTCTCCATTTGTCACCCCCGCAGATGAACAAGACAAAAAAGAGGACCAAATATTCACAAAAACCAAAGCCAATTGATAACGAAATTATCACTAGTAATAATAGTGCTAATTATGGCTTCCTTCTCCACCCGCCATCTGTCGTCGGTTTTGACCCTTCAAGCAACTCCCATTAGCTTCACCAATGGCGGAGCTAGTCATATATATACATAGCTCGATCAGTTCGTTCTTCCAATAACTCAAATCTCAAAACCCAAAATTTACATCTAAAATCCGAAACCCCAGAATTTGATTTTGCTTGAATTGAAAGCCCAAATTTTGCAATGTCAGCCGATTCATCCAGCGACGACAATCACCCGTGCTACAGAACCGCGACGGCGGAGGAATCCTGCGAGTCTTCGATTTTCGCCGACAGCTTCCGCTCCCTAGACTTGCCGCCCGGTTACCTTCACATGAAATCCAGCAGCATCCTGGCCTCCCCACGCGTCCGCAGCGCGAGGGTGTACACCAATTCCGTCGACGAATTCGAGCCATCTTCCTCAATCAGCTGCCGTTTCTACGACGACTTCAGCTTCGTCGACAATTCCGATTGCGAGACGGGATCCGAAACCCACCTCCTGATCGACCGGAGCCGCCGGCAGCAGGTCCCGGCGGCGCTGAATTTGAAGCCTCCGCCGGCTCGGAATTCGTCCGGGGAGATTAAGGGGGCGAGGTCGCTGACTCCGTCGCGGCGGAGGAGGTCGCACTTCCACGTCCACCGGCGGAGCCTCTGGAACGACGATTTCGACCCTTTCGTCGCCGCCATGAAAACTGTGAGGAAGGACGTCGGGGAGAAATCCGGCGGCGTGAGAGCGGGGAGTCACAGACGGGCCTGGTCCGACTCGCTGCGACATGTTGGTCCTGGGCCTGGGCCCATGAAGAACGGTCTAAATGATCCGGAAGCGATGAAGGCCGAGCGGAGTCTGAGGTGGATGAAGAGCATGCCGAGGGCGAGGGCCAGAAGCCCAAGCCCGGTGCCGAGCCCGTCGGCCCAAATGAAGTCGCCGCAGCCCAAGGGGGTGATGTACGCGAGACACACGAGGATGGTGAAAATGGACCGGGAAGAAGACGAGGGAGGGAGAGGGATTATGGATGCGGCGTCGTGTGGGTGCGGGAGCAAGAGGGAGATTATGAAGCATTTGGTGGTGTCGATGAAGGGAAGGCCGCCGGCGGCGACGGAGGAAGAAGCTGTGGCGGCGGCGGCGGCGGAGGAGGAGAAGAACGAAGAGGATCAGCCACCGAAGCTTTCGAGGAGGAAGAGGTTGATGAGGAAGTTGAGCTTCAATCGGTCTCGAAACGGCGACGTGGAAGGGGAGAAGCGTGCGTCGGAGGGAAGGAAAATGGTGCAGTCTAAGAGTGGTCTGCTTGGTTGCGTGGGTATCAAGAATAAGATTTACGCAGGTTGCTGAAATGTTTTTTTTTCCACCTCTCTTAACAGTTCTTTCAATATTCATTTTGTGCAGATAAAAAAAGATATTCGTTTTGTACAGCTAAATTTATTTCGTGTGAGAATTTGTTACTCTACAATTTGCGGATTATTCACGACTTATAGTGACTTAATTTTTACTTGTAACTGTAAGTCAATTTATTTTAATTTTTTATTATCTCTCGACATTGGTTTAATCTTTTGAGATTTCGTCCCAATTTTTTTATTTCGTTTTATCTGTTTTTCATTATTTGTAAGTTGTGACTTGTGATTGCGTTCTTTTTAGGGGTTGCTACTACTAAAAATGTAAAGTTTCATTTCTTCTAATCAACGATTGTAATACCTCATTAATCTATTCTAATCCCTCAATCTAACAATGGTGTACATCTACGACAAGAGTTATGGCATTGGACAACAATAGATAGTTTGATTCATACTGTCAAAAAAAAAAAGAAAAAAAAAGATAGTTTGATTTATATATCAGAAGTATTCTGAAACGACTGTCAAGGAAAATTGAATAGCTAGGAACGAGACTGAACATTTGTCTTCTAAGTGAAAGCTGAAAATTGTTCATGTTATAATCATCATCTGGGGGGCATATTGTACAAAAGAGATCTCTATGAATGAGATGACATCTTACATTTACCGTGGCAGCAGCCATCCCTTCACCTGGGAAAGAGAAGTCCCAAAAAGGAAAAACAAAGGGGGGAAATAATGCCAAGAGCCTACACCTTATAGTTCTCTGCAATCATGGCAGAGTTTACAACAAAATGTAGGGGGTTCTTGAAATGGTTTCAATACTGCTCGAAAATTTTCCATATACACATCTTGGTTCTTCTTTCTTTCTTTTCTTTCTATGGACTGAAGTCACAACAACAATTTGAGTAGTTGAACTTGTATGTGTACCAGAAGGCGGCAAAGCTTAGAACTTTGGAGCTACCCTTTTTCATTCCAGGACTTCGGAAGGCCAAAGCCGTTTCCACCTTGAGATTTCGTCATCTTTGCTAAGCTTTCTGACACCGCCGTAGAACCCATCCGCCTCATTCCCTTCCTCTCGATGGTCCTTTCTGTTCACCGTTGTTCGCCTCCACCGTGATCCTGGAGCATACTGATGGAACTCCAACACTACGGTCTCTGTTTGCAATGGAAACATATACAACATACAAAAAAAAAAAAAAAGTCAAACGATAGCAGTAAAGATGATTGAGAAATCAATGTCTTTTGTGGCACATTCAGCTATTGATGTACACAACTAGCTATCCAAAAAGAGAGCATAAATACGTCCTTCTCTTTTCAAGAAAGATAGCAGCCACAGAGATGGCATCTGCCTTTTACCATCTAGAGACAGGCAACCATGCTATTCAATTGTGGAACTTGTTACAATCAAGCCAAAATACATCTTTGCAACAATACAAGTGTTGTTTTTGCAGAATTTGGTTTTAGGAATCCATAGTAAGATCTACAAGGATCCTTTTCTTTTGGGGTATTATTGCACTAACTCCTAAAAGATCTTATAAAGAAAGCATTTATCATCTCGTTGATATTTTAATGTGTTCTTCTAATTACGAGTTGGTGAGAAAACTGTTTCCCGAAGGATGCAAACCACAGAAGTGGGTAATGGGTATAAAAAAGATCAGCAATTGTGTCCAATCAACTTGAGGGAATCACTAGAGAAAAGTGAGAGTAGCTTTTAAGTGATGTTAACATGAGAAGTGGGTTGTGTAAAAAGCAATGATGCGAGTGCATGTGTTAAGAGCAAAACAGAAAATTGGGGAAGTGAGCATTAGGTGAGAAGATGATGGAGTGGAGAATAAGGCATTAAAGCATAAGGATAGCAAACAGTTGCAGAGCCCCACAGCACTACGAGTGATTCCACCACAGGTCAAAGAAATGGACAGAAGAAGGAGAGTTGGGGGGTCTCATTAATAACAAGAGCTCATAAGGGAGACACATGAGTAAATTTTCAATATGGTTGGCCATAAGTATTCCCACTGAGACACAATGTTGGTGGAAGTCATGACATATTGACAGTGATTTGTCCATTTGAAAGGAAAGGAACCAATCCAACAAAGCATATAGACCCACTGGTCCACTGCACTGCTATTAAATATATTATACAGAACTCTAGACCAGCCTAAAAATCCTTAATTTTTCAAAATGCATACTTTAGATTTGATCTCATCCACATGAACATGTAGATTATGATTCCACAAACCACATTGCAATGGTTTCACTTTTGTCTGTGCTTAGATGGGCTTTTCTTTTGTTATATTGGAGGATGACAACATTTTAGTTATTTTACAACTAAGAGAACAGGTTCATGAACTGAAACTTTGCTTGTGGTTTCAGACAATCACATGAGCAATCGATCTGAAGCATGAATGGGAAATGAACTCACCGCTATTATGGCACCGGCAATAATGCTCGTTCCCGTCACATGCTTCCAGGTGACCAACCACTCCATACCACCAACCTGCAAGCAACCATACGCGGTAATCCAATCAAACAAGGAATTAGATTCAATCATGACATTAATTATTGATTAATTACTCAAGATAACAATAATAAAAGGAAAAGCTTTTCTCTCCATTAAACAAATTGCCGTACGCTTATGCAGACAGCGGACATGTTCACTAACAAGTTGCAAAAGGATTAGGAGAATAAAAAATTGTGACTGACAAAAATAGGGTTTTTAATTTTTAATTTTTTAGTGTAGATTTACAATCCTCCGTTGGTTTCAGGATTCATTCCTATTAGAAAATTCAATCCTTTTCATTTTCCAGTCAAATGATATGATTATGTTTCAGCATATCCTGTTTAATGGATTTTGCTAGTCTCCTAAGTTGAATGCTACTCTGGAAAAGCTTCCCAGAACACCCTAGAAAGAATACGCAGATGTGTAGATAGCAAACATAATTTAAAGTTTTGAACTGACCATAAGGGAATTCCTTGTTCCTTCTCCACTGAATCTCAATATGATGACCAGGGCTCAAATCATGTAAGCAATCAGAGGCATGGAGATCATGAGGAGAAGTATCAACTGGAGGTGCTCTTAGCCTTTCCCAGTGGACACCGGTCTCTATTGCAACTGGCCTCCTTCCATGTGGTGGATATCTTTATAAAATAACAATGAACCAAAAAACTACGCATCAGGAATTGAGTCCACTAAGATCAACTAACCGTTATATATTTGTTAATTACCTCCCACATCTATTATTGGGACACCAATATCTTTGGACAGAAAAAGCAAAGAAAGATCACCCAAGAATCAGGGGAGGGGTATCAATTTAATTAATTACAATTATTGACAGGCCAACTAGACAATCATATAATTTTCCTCTCCAATTCATTACCTGGCCTGGAAGGTATCAGTACGAGGATCATAGCTAAGATCAGCATCATAGCATGACAACATGAACCCTACATGACCATTCTGGAATTAAACAAAAACAAGAAAAGATGAGTACTTTTCACATCATAGCAGTAGAAAGAAACACTGTAAGTGGAAGTTGAAAAATTGGGCAGGAATTAATACCTCTCTGTTGTAGACCTGTGCAGGGAACCAGAACTTGCCACTCTCAAGAGCAAGGTACCATGCCATGGTTGAATCAACAGGCAAGCTACAACTTCTCTCCTTGCAACCATTTTCATTGCTGTCATTCTGACTCTCCGCGTTCAATTTGATCCAAGGGAAAGCAGACCAAACTGCAGAAACAAGCCTTGACCACCCCTTTTGTTCGCCTGGTTTGTAGCTTCCCAAATCCTTTCTCGAAGCTTGATGCCATTGCCACTCTCTATAAGCAGCAGGACCAATTATCCTGCCCCATTTCTGCTTCATATGCCTTTCCCAAAAGTAATCACTTGTGCACCTTTCCCTCAAAGAGGAGCACACAGCAGCCATGCTGCAAAGCCCTGCAGGGGATAGCTTCTCAAGTATGCATTCAAGTGCCAGTTCCGGCAAATCCAAGACTAGCATGGATTCTAGTCCGTCTACTTCTTCTTCCCCAGCTGCTTTCTCAGTTTTTGCATTTGAAGCAGATAGAAGAACCATTCTCTTGTTGCTGTGGAGAAGGCTTAAAAAGTTGTTCTTTGCAGACCCAAAATATGAACCCATAAGCAAGTCTTTCCAGAAGAAAACTGAGAGCAGTCTCATCTCAGTTGCCCATGGAGGCAGAGGCTTGAGAGGGAGCGATTTAAGAAACAGGGCAAAGGAGAAACAAGTGATGAAGAAGTAAAGTAGCATTTAGATAGGAAATGGGAGAATTCTATAATGAGTCAAATTTCCGTTTTTGGGATAAATAGATGGGAAAGAGTGGAAGGAAGATCAATGAAAGAAGAACAAATTGTGGGGGAAAGCTATGTATAAAAAGATGGGCGAGGGGAAAATTTTGGCAGAGCAAAGAGAGCCCAAACCAATTGTCTTCTCTCTACCTCTCAACAGCCCACCTTTAAAATGCTGAAGATTAGCAAAGTGGGATCTATCATTCACAAACAAACAAACAACAAGAATAATAAATGGAAAAATACCCCCCTCTTTGAAAATGAAACGAAGGTGTTTGATTGGTCACTGAGAAAGCCCACCAAACCCACCGGTGGGCCTTCTCTATTCTCCCTGGAATCCCTCGGATCAGAATAAAATTTCAAAGCAGCAAGAAAACGAAAAAGGGTGAGATGTCACCTTAAACAAGCAAGAATCCCAGACTTTTAAAACAGAAAAGGAATAATTAACACTTGTTAATGGTTCCTTTTCTCTTTGTCGAAACAGGATGACCACCACAATAAAACTTGATTCGTACAGACAGCTCCCACAGCTGTCATTCAAAGAGAGGGCTGGATTTTCAGAGAGAGCACAAATGGGGGATGGACCTGATGAACCCAGTAAAAAGAGAAGGAAAAGTAAAGTAAAGAAAGCAAGAATTCTGAAGGAAGGGGGGTCTGCCTGCCTCAGTGGTGGTGGTGGTGGGTGGGACAGCCTGAGATCTGATATAGGTTCCTGACACCTGGAAGAGGAAGCAAGATGAACTTTCGGATATGGTGGAAGGATAAGTCTAGATACAGAGGCCCATATCTAATCTACCTAATTAATATCCCCCAATCAAAAGAAGTGTTCTTTGGACAAACTAGGTGGACAGCAAGAGAGAAATCAGATCTGGGTAGTCGTTGGGGAATAAAATCAAACAGGTGGCGTACCCGATTTCCAAAGGTGGAGGAGGACAAATATAGGATTGGGTTGATGAAGAAGGAGATGATGAACCTCGAAGCTTATTGGTGGTGGAAGGAAGAAAAGGAAGTTCCCTATGCAGCCTCCTCTCTTCTTCTTCTTCTTCCCCCCTTTCGTTTCACCTCTCAGTTCATCACTTTCTTCACCAAAATCCTCCCCTTGGAAAACCGAAATGAGCTCCGCCCGTTTCTTCCTTTCGCCCAAGAAGATAGATTCCCTCAATGGGCAACGATGCAGAAGCCTTTTATAAAAGGGGGAGGAGACCGGAAACCGGAAAATGCTAATTCCGATCCCACCAGGGTTGGCTAAATTTGCTGATACAAACTAATGGAGGAGGGAAACCCAACTCAGCTCCAGAAATGGAAACGGGGAGAGAGAAATGGAGGGAAGAAAGGAAAAAAGGAATTGGTGGTGAAGATTGAAGAAGCTCTAGGAAGGGATTAATAATGTAATGTCGATTGGCAATTTGGCAGGGTAGCTGCTTTGATTGGTGGGCGGGCGGGCGGGCTTCGGATTTAGCGTCGGTGAAGGGCACGGGCGGAGAAGATTTAAAATTCCTTTTTTTCTCTTTTCTGTCGAACGGCGGGAGAACACGTGGGACGGGGGTGTGGATTTCAACGAGCATATAAAGGCGGGTGGGCCGGCCGGCCAAAATTGGTTAATGGAGCCGTCTCTCTTCATTCTCGTCGGGCTACTTTAATTATTCTTTTTCCGGCCGGTTTGACTCGTCGCCGGCGGAGAGTTAGGTGGGCGGCACTACTTACTTACTGAGGTAAGGTAGGCCGCCGAACTCGGTCCTGAAGACAATTAACATTAGATTAGAGTTTGATGGTCAACAAACGCATAGTTTAATGTTTTATTTATTTTAATTGTACGTTTTGTTAGGCTAAAGCAATAACGTAAACTCTTTTTAAGCAAACCAAAAGTAGGCGATTTCACTAATGTGTATATGGTTGTATATATTTCATTTGTTTATTAGTTGCTTTTGAACATTTAAGCAAGAATTTTGGTCTCGAGCAAAATTTAATCTAAAAACCTTGAAACAAAACCTCATGTAATGGATTCTTGAGGTTCGTATGTTATCTAATGCAAAAAAAACTCAGTCCAACGGGCTAGCGGAATTTCCATAGCTGAGAAGTAGATGTAATGGTCTCGTCGTTGCTAAAGTAAGTCGCACTGTGAGCTTGGAAAATTCCCCGTTAGATCAGCGTACCACTTAGTTCAAGACATGTCTCAACATATCATCATTATCATCATCATCATCATCTATTTATACATTCTTTTTGACTCGTTAATCATGAGTGTCTGGTCTCTCAGCTTTCATAGATAAACACAGTAGATGATGCTTTGGTGGTCAGACACGAATAATTCACGATCGTTAGAGAGAAATTGTCACCACATTCATCCAACAATCACAAATCGCCCATGTCAACAATCACAAATCTGCCTATGAACACCATAATCAGATTACATCCATCTAAGGATCATTTCTCCATTGTTTTTGTCATTTGTGGACTCCTTTAGAAGACTCTTCTTTTGTCTTCTTCGGCATCTTATCATTTACCATCTACCAACAACCAATTCAGTCTCATATGGATGGGATTGGTGATCAAACTTCAAAGAAGGTGCATTGTAATGATAGTCTGTTGTATTTTACCGGGAAAATTCGAGATACAGATCTTAATCGAATCCCCTATATCTAGTGGGGTCTGGTCACTGTGACTTCCCGATGGAATTGCCAAATTAGCGGCGGATCAACATTGTTTTTCTGGTTTCAGTTAGGATGACAGCTGCCTTCATTCATCTGATGTGAAGTTTGGTGAGTTATCTACTAGAGGTTTGCGAGCAAAGAGTGCTCGTAGTACCAAAAATGTCAAATCTGGAAGTCTCATCTCACAGTCACAGCATCAACAGTTTGGGAAGAACTCTGTTAGGTGCGGATGACCTAACCTACGAACGACACCCACCTTGGCCCCACTTCGATCTGATGGGTAACGCATCACCAATGGCCTCAGTTGGTTGGCCGGCCGGCCCGGCTGGCCGCAACATTTTGCTGCTTGGAAGAAGTAACCAAGTTTTCTGCTGCTGTCAACATTTTACTGCCGGAAGAGGTAGAGAAAGTTGTAATTGCTTCCGAATTGATGGTTTCTGTGCATGTCGAATCAGGATATCGGGCTGATTAAGTAGACGCCAGAACACGTTGATATCATTGGATCGAACGTGCATGATCTCCGTATTCAAATCGAAGATTGAAGCATCATTATAAATGTCAGAACTCAGAAAGAAACCAGCCAAATCAAAGTAAGCACAGATTATCCAGTCCTATTTGGTGGAGGACTCTTACGGGGTCGACCTGAGAAGATCACATGAAAGAATCCTCGCAGACACCGCCTGCTTCGCACTTTCATGTATCGATTGTGTGTTCTCGGGTCACCCCTGCAAGAACTCCTCCACCATCATGATCGCCGCTGCTGGCTTCCTGTGATAGCTTCAATTCCTCGATCCCTAAACCCTGTTGAGTGTGACTCAAGTAATCCACATTTTGTTCTCAGAAAACTACTGCAGATCTAATTTAAAAGGATGCGCTTGAGCAAGATGTTGCTTCGGGTTACAACAAAATTTTAACTGCTGACATCATACCAAGAAGCTCTTCCTTCCCAACTTTCTTCCACGCACCGTCGATCAGCAAGCATCCGTCCAAGCTCCGGACAGCTGGAGTTCCTTCATCTTCCACTTCACTACTGTGTCTCATCTTTTTAGCACCTGACTTTTGCGGTAGACAACTTGCTTCTCTCTTTTTTAGGCTTCGATCGTCCCAGGATTGAAAATTGGCACCAGATTGTTTCGTGCTGTTATTGTCTTTTTTCAGTTCCGGAGTCTGATCCCTCTCTGGTACCATGGCAGACTTCTTGCCTGTATCTTCACTGTCGAGGACTGGAAGGCGGCCAGATGTACCGAGATCTCCGGGCAACATTCCTATAGGGCAAGGGTTCCACCCCTTTGCAACTACCCATCGGACTGAATCAGGTTTTTCACCAGCAGTTGGACTCAACAGTTGTCCCTGATTTCGACGTTGTTGCAACACTTCCTTTAACTTCTCAGTAGCTTGACGGAGATATTCTTCGTGATTTGGGCTACCGCTGGCTGTTTCTTCAGGAACAGGGGCCGCTGCTGATAAATAATGGGAACTTAACCTGTTGAGTTTCTCGATTAAAGAGCTCTTTCCAGTGAGCTCAGCAAGAAGCTTTGCCCCATCCATGAGCTGCTTGTTGCCACAAGATGAGGCGAGGAGGCATTTGCGTAGGATCCCCATCAGAATTGCATTCGACATGCTCATTCCCGTTGAATTGATTTTGGTCTCAGCTTTTGCGTCTTTGGAGAAGAGAGTCTCCTTTAGTCCCTGGAGCTGTCCTATAAGCCATAAAAACACTGAACCGAGTCCTTCGGTTCGACTAGGCTGCGTTTCTTGCTCTGTTGATGACGGAACCATCCCTGCAAACGAAGTTTTAGAAATCAGGAAAACAACATTTATGCGAAAACTAGAGCATCCAATTACCACTTCTTGCAACTATGTTTCATTCTCTTATAAGCACAATGGCGCAGAAAAGGAACAAATAACATATAAATGCTCGAGAGCCAGGGAGGAAATGAAATTTTACCCATTCTAGAGTCCATCGATTCTTCACTCTCAATCAAATTTAAGACTGATCTGGTAAGTGTAAGAAGCAGCTCAGGTTCTTTCTTTGAGAATCTGGTTACCATAAGCTTCCAAACATCCAGTAAACTTTTTTCACCGACTTTGATTTCCTTTCGAAGCTCCAACAAATTTGTGGAGTCCAAAGCTTTCAGCAATAACTCTAGTAGTACAGAAAGTACTTCTGAAGGGAAGGATGAATTTAACTGAACTAGGGATTTAAGGATCCTGGAAACTGTTTTCTTGGAACCTGAAAGCCAAAGAGAACGAAACCTTTTACATGTATAGAATACATAACACAGTGGCATCAACTCATGGAAACATGCATGCATACACAAACACATCACTGTATGTGCTAAGAAAGAAAAGGGGGGGAAAGGAGGACGTCCATGTATCTATGTACATTATGTAGACACACCATACAGTCATAACACTGCACATTGTGTGGCAGGAATTGCTACTACGACCGCATTAGGGATGTAGTTTAGCCACATCAAGTGCCTTGCTGCCAAATAAAAAGTATGATTTACGACAGACCGCAAATGACAGAATGTGCACCATGCCTATGGGTTAAAAAAAACATAGAGTATCCATGAACCACTATCACATCCATATGAATCTTAAAATGTGGCTTCTTCAAAAACATTTTTCTCCTTACCACAAAATTTGGATGAATGGAGCTTTCCGGCCACCACCATTGAGAAAATCTTATAACTGCCACAAGATTGTTTATGATATCTGCCACCTACAACGACCTGATTTGTTAATATGACTAACCACCTCCTAGAGTAACACTTTTGGAGCGAATCCATAAACACAAGTAACTGAAATAAGCTATATCTTAGTAAATAGTAGTGTAAATGACACTGGAAACCGAAACTCATAGCGGTTTAGTCAGTGCACAAAATTAGAACAATCCAAGCCAAACTTTTAATACAGTAGCTTGTCCTTGGTCTAAGACTTCATCTCCCTAGAGAGAATATTGCCTCGGTTCTTGAAAAATTACCATTGAATTACATTTTGAAACTATTCAAACATTATTTTACAGTCAGCTCATCCTTCTTATGTTTGGCTTTTTTTCTTATAGCTCAAAGAAAAATGAGTTTGTCTTTCTTTTCCAAGAATGTAATCAACAATCTGGAGTAAATTTGAGGTGCTAGCAAGATAAGAAAGAGCCAAAGGTACAGCAGGAGAGGGAACAGCTTTGGTGCATAAGATAATGCAGGAAAGAAGAAAGGGTAAAGTCACTCACCTTTTTTCCCAGGTGATGGAGAAGTCCTGGTATCAGGACTCTGCTTAACTTTAGACCATGAAGCAAGTTCACGGAGCTTAGATTTTATTTCTTTTCTAATGCTAGCTCCGTCCCTTTGAGATGGAATCTGCATCGTCTGAGGCTGCCAGTAGTACCACTTCAACCACTCAATCGCCTGAGATCAACAATAGCATAGGATCATTTCTCAGCATCAGCATAATAACTACTATACAATCCTCAGAATGCAAAGGATTATTTTGTTCAGATTTAAGATAAGGGAATTTTAGCTTGTTTCATTTTCCAGACGATCAAGGATTTTGCTAATTTCTATTTTGGGTGAGCATAAGTAAATCATTTACTCTCTTGTGCATTCTTAACAGGGCCTTTGCCTTTAGGTCAATGTTTTTGTTTGTGTATTATGGCTTCAGCATCATGGGCTTGCTTTCGTGCAATTATTTCAACATTATATATAGTATCCCTGATCGCCATCCTATGTCCTTGCATGAACAAAATATTTTTTTTTCTTCCCAGGATATCATGCAGTTTCAAAATAACATTGTTCAGAGAGAAAGCACCCATTTTTTGAAGAACAACGGAAAATTGCTTAATCAAATAGATATGAAGCAAGTGCGTCAAAACTTATCAAAACAAATAAGATTCAGAATAAAAGCAGCATAATTAATAAAACTGGTTATTAACACATATATTACATAAAGGACACTACCTTAACAGCAGAATCTCGAACCAAAGGTAGTGCAGGGAGATTGCGGTGAGAGCCCTCTGCAATCACATGCATGCCAAGTACACGATAAATGAATTTACGTTTATCAAAACTGAAAGACTGTCAGTGAAAAATAGTACATCGGACAGCAAATTCCTCATCGCAAAAGCTAAGATTTAAGCACATCAAAACCACATTTTCCAAGGAATAATTGTCCGACTACATAGATGTTAGACCAAGAATCAAAAAGCAAAGGAAGAACCTGTTGGCACGAGGCACACTATAAATAAGTACATTGATTAATTTTCCAAAACTGAACAAGGCTTGAGAAATTAGAAATCAGCAATATCTAGGGGCTCAACTTGGATAGCAAGTAACAGATACTTAAGGCAGATCTTGAAGCTGCAATATTTTATATAAGTTTAATTAGTAAGAACCTTGACAAGTATGTGGCATCAAATTGTAAGAGTTAAGTATCAAACAATCAAAAAATTTGTTGATGTTGTTGTCTCTCTGCCTACAACAAGTGATCTAGCTCTCGTAAACAAATCCAAAAAAAGCAGTAACAGGAAAATAAGAAAAGGCAGTCACAGTCCAACCAAGTAACTGAGGGCAGATGATATAAAATGGAACCCAATCCAATTAAAAATAGCAGTGAGCACTTCACTATATAGGTTCAAATCCAGGAAGGTTACAGTCAAGTGCCAATATTCTACCTACGCACACAAGACAATTTCCTTGGTCCAATGAATCTGTTGGAATCAACTGAGGATGAGCTAATGCTTAAATCAAACTGTATGACACATGGGATTTTCGGTAACCCTATTATTTCATGAATAATAAGTAGTGCTACACAGTAAATAAGAAAAGAAAATTCTTCTGAGCTGAATAAACTTATTAGTCACAATTGTATTGGTTTCCTATATAGTGGAGGATGCAGAGGATTGATGCATTAAAGTTACTTACCATGTCGTATATCAATCAATGTGCGAGGTATGCCAATTGCACCTGCAGCCTCGCCAATAGAAGCATCATTCTTCTTACGTGTCTTCTCAATGACACAGTTCACCAGCCTTCGGCACAGAATTCACAGTATCAGACTAAAGTTACCAGAATTTTGATGAGGCTTGCCGTTAAACACAGTCAAATTCATGTCTAAACATGATAGAGCAAGGCATCCACATGCAGTACAATTCAAAAAAAATACCACACAAAACACGGGCAGATACTTGAATCATCATCAGATGTCCAATACTATAGATGGATCCACTATTTCAAAGCCAGAGAAGAAACAGGAGGCGCAACACAAGGGGGGAAAACAATGCACCTCAAGATAGCCATGCAATATAGCATGGCCAGCATTTGCTCTGAATGCGCAGCATCACCGGAAAGGTCCTTTCTGTGAACAACATCAATAGGACAGAACATGTAAGATGCCAATAGCAGAACCACAAACCATGAGAAGGGAAAAGTAGGCCCAGCAAAACTTTTCCAGCAACAAGAATTTCCACTTAGTACCTACATCAGTTCATTTTACTCAACTCTTCCTGAGAAATTAACTTTACTTTGAGACGATTCAATAAGGTCGCTTGGATACAAAGTTGAACCAAGAATGTTGAAGCTAGGAGTCACAAATACCTGTAAACAGGATCCTTTTGCTGAATTTCAATTATCGAAGCCGTTACATCGATGACAACAGGTAGACATCCCCTACTTCGCCAGGTCGATATCTGAAACGCCATGAATATCAGCTCAGTAACATTGACCAGAAGCATTTAGAATCACAAGTGTTGTTAAGAACAGTAGAGGGACCTTCCCACGGAGCAAATTAAGGAAAAAGGAAGCAGAACCAGGGAGCCCTGGGCCTTACTCTATGGAGTGCAAATGCAACTTTGTGAGGCGAGTCAGAGAAGAGAGAATCCTTGACGGACTCCCACTCGCCCCAGTTCAACCACGGCACCATTCTGTAACCGGACGGCGAGGACAGCGTTGCGTTTCTTTGATCGGCCACATCGTCGACGGGTATGTTCCCGTATCCCAGCCCCAAAATCTGTTCCATTGAAGGATTAACTTCTTCGGAGTTCTACTTCACTGTTTTTTGAATCCTGTATTTGAGCAGCGAAAGAGAAACTGTAAACGTCCATTACATTACTGAGAAGCCATCGAACGAAGAGAAAACAACCGACTGAAAAGAGCAAGGGAGAAACCTTTCCGTTTGACTTTGCGGGGCCACTAGGTTAGGTTTACCCGCCGTCCGTCTTCTGGTTTCTAAAGCTCCGGTCTACCCTTCCAATGGCAGTGCGGGGAACCTCTAACTTCAAGAAGGAGCCCGCGAAGAGTGAGTAATGAAGCGGGCGGATGCTCGCGGCCCAAACTCTCTACTCTTTGGACTTTGTTGGACAATTACAAGGGTTTTCCTTTTTCGGCACCATAAGTCTTCGTATTTCTTCTAGGATCAGATCAGGTCAGTAATTGATGGGTCAGTAACCCATCAGTAATCTCTTCTCTTGCCGCTACGTGTCAGTCCTTTTTTTATTAAATTAAATGTAAAAGGACAATAAGGTAAAATTGCTCCTACCTCTATTTATTGCTAACGCTGACTTTTGACCGGATCACATCAGCGCCTTCTCTCTCCTCGAAAAACTTTTAATTTTCCTTTTCTTAATCTTTAACGGACGATTTCTCACTCATTTTAAGTCCGAATTTAATTTTTTTGCATAGTTAGATCAGATTAATTGTGCTCTTCAAAATGATATCCACTTTGATATTTTTTGGACATAAAAATTTTTGTCAGTTATTACCAGTCTATACCATATGGTGTTGGGTGGTAATATCAATATATATTTCGTTACCACCCAATACCATATGGTATAGTGTGGTAATATCAATATATATTTCGTTACCACATAATATCATATGGTATAGTGTGGTAATATCACACAATACCATACAATACCATATGGTATAGTGTGATAATATCAATATATAATTCGTTACCACACAATACCATACATTACCATATGGTATAGTGTGGTAATATCAATATATATTTCGTTACCACCGAATAACATATGGTATAGAGTTATAATATCAATATATATTATCTATAAGAAAAAAAAACAGAAGGAGGTAGAGAAAAAAATCGTCTTGTGTCGCCTCTCATTTCCTCTTCCGCAATCAAGAACACCAAAATGCCGAAAAAATGAGAAAGATCGAAATTGAGGCCAACAAGATGATGAAGAGAAGAAATGCAATGAAAAAGAATGGCTCCAATTTTTATTCGTCATGGAAAAAAAAATAAAGAAGAAAAGAAGGGAGCAGATTTAGATCTAGAAATGAGATTGAGAGAGAAAAAGGAAGAGAGAAAGAGAGAGGATCTGGAAAAGAAATTGGGAGAAAAAAAGGAAGAGAGAAGGAAGATAGAAAGTTGCAGAGAAGTGATTTCTTTTTCCTTCTTTGAAAGTGCAGCCATTAAATACGAAATAAAATAAAATAAAGAATTTAATGTATAAACGGACAAAAACACCCTTCCCCACTCAGCGTCCGGCCCAACCACACGATTGCCTGCCTCTTAGATCTATGGTCCCTATTCATTACTGACATGTCAGTAACCACTTGGTTACTGTCCCTATCTGCTGCCTTTCTTCTATACCTAAATAGATCGTGCAAGGCAACCTAAATAAGAGTACATCCCAGTAACTAGGGCTGGCAATTTGGTCCAGAACTGTTTGGTTTTACCCAAAATTGGACCATATAACTCGGACCGGGACCGGATAGCAAACAATTCAATCTCATATTCAGGCTTAGATTTGAGGTAAAAAAACCAGGATAAAAACCGGATAAGAGACTCCAACACTCAAATCCCCACAAGTTCAATCTAAAATCAAAATCAAATTGGGACCGGACCCGGTCAAGACCGAACCGGATCAAAACCAGAGTGTGTCCAATCCAATTTTTGGTCCTTATATTCCCGAAAAGACCGGACTGGGACCGGATCAATTTGGTCCAATTTAACCGGACCGGACCGTATAGCCACCCTTACCAGTAACTATTCCAGGTACGGATTAGGTTAGGCTGCAAGTAAGTCTGAGTCGAGGTTTATCTTCACTGTATTAAGCAATTGATAGCAAACTGACGATCTTTTATTGATTTGAAATAAAGATACATATAGTGGTTGATGCAAACCACAATCACTGGTTACTATCAACGTTTCATGACCCTTGAATCACGCTAACACGATCCAGCAAACTAACTAACTAGCTAAAGACTCTCAACTAGCTAATCACTACTGACAGGACTCGATTGTAACATGACACAAACATAATGACTGACTCTGCAATACACCAAACGATGTCGCATTGCTTATTACACAGAGACTCAATTTAAACTGCTTCTTTGGCGTGCTTCCAATCCGAATGCAACTCGGATTCCTTCTCAACATGTCCTCCCATGAACTGAAGCATCCCAACCATCAGCTTCAGTTCACTTCCGACCGTTATTCTTCACACATCTTCAATCTCAGAAATATCACAGACTCCCAGCTCCTGTCTTAGCCTGTGAAATGATTCCAGTGACAGAGCTTTGGTCATAATGTCAGCAATTTGATCCCTTGTGCCACTTTGTTTCAACTCCACCACTTCATCTCGAACCATATCCCTTAGCAAGTGAAACCTCACATCTATATGCTTACTTCTGCCATGGAGAACCACATTTTTTATAACTTTATGGTTGAGGTTATCACACATGATTTTAGTGGCTTTCTTCACACTTGAATTCCAACCAATCTCAGCCAAGACCTAAGGTACTCTTTGACCAGACTCCTTGAGCAGCACAGTAAGCTGCTGCAACAAACTCAGCTTCTGTAGTGCTTAGACTCACTACAGGTTGCTTCTTGGATGCCCATGAAACAACTCCCCTAGCAAGGAAGAAGACATATCCGCTGGTACTCTTCCTGTCATTTGAGTTTCCAGCATAATCACTGTCTGTATATCCCAGCAAACTGTCTTCCTCACTTTGTCTTCTGCACCAAATTCCATTGCTCATGGTTCCTTTTAGGTATCTGAGAACCCTCTTTGCATCCAACATATGTTGCTTAGTAGGTGCTTCCGTGTATATGCTTAACAAACAGACAACAAACATGAGATCTAGTCTGATTGCAATGAGGTATAACAACCTTCCAATGATGCTTGTACTTAGTTGCATCCACCTGACATCCATCTCTAGCTATTGACAGCTTTGCTCCAGGAACAATAGGGTTGTAGACGAAATTGCACTCAACAAGCTTCAATCTAGCCAATACTTTATTTGCATACTTTTGTTGGCATATGAAAATGCCTTCTTCTCTTTGAATCACTTCCACCCCAAAAAATACTTCATCCTTCCTAAATCTGTCATCTCAAATTCTACTTCCATGGTGTGTTTAAACTCAACAACCATTTTAGCATTAGTACTAGTATAAAGCACATCATCAACATAGATTTTTATTAACAGTACCCCTGATCAGACTTCTTGATGAACAATGTGGCTTCATATGGACATGTCTGGAAACCAGTAGCAAGAAAATGAGCTTCTATTCTATTGTACCATGTTTGGGAGCTTGCTTCAAGCCATACAGGGTTTTCTTGAGCTTGTAGACCTTAGCATCCTCCCCAACAACCACAAACCCTTGTGGTTGCTCAACATAAACATCTTCACTGAGCTCTCCATGTAGAAAATCACGTTTGACATCAAATTGCCAGACTGGAATTTCATGGTGTGAAGCAAAATCTAGTAGACATCTGATAGTGTTCCACCTGGCTACTGGAGCAAAAACCTCATTATAGTCTATCCAAACCTCTGAGCATATCCCTTGACCACCAATCGAGCTTTATGTTTGTCCAGAGTTCATGTTTCAGTGAGTTTAGTTTTGTAAATCCACTTCAAGCAAATAGGGATTATACGTTCAGGAAGATTAGTGAGTTCCCAGGTGTTGTTCTTGGCAATGGACTTCATTTCCTGTTTCATTGCCTCATTCCATATCTCAGCTCGAGAAGCTTCCTCAAAAGTCTGAGGTTCATCTGTGATTACTGTCATAGCTAGCCATTCTATTTGTTCTTCTTCTGCACAACTCCATTCATAAATAGAAAGGTGACCAGGTGGCTTCCTTGTTCTGGGACCCAATTCAGTGCTCCTAGGTAAACCCAACACATCAGTTGAGTCCTCCTCAGCATCCCTATCTGTAGAGTCAAGGCCAGTGGGAGCTGTTGGTGTTTTTGGACTGTCTGGTTCTTCCTTAGTTACTTCTTTAGGAACTGCTGGTGCTGAAACTTGAGGTCCTTCTTCTCCATCAGAATCAACATAATTATCATCACTCCCCTTCCCATATCAGACTTGTCAGGACTGGTTGGATGTCTGATTTCCACATCCAGCCCTTACTTTCATCAAATACTGCATCTCTACTCACTAGAATTTTCTTTGTTTCTAGGTTTTGAAACCTGTCTGCCTTTGATTCTGTAGAAATGCCAAGAAAATGGCATGGGACACTCTTGTCATCGAGCTTCTTCCTGAGTTTATCAGGGATGTGTGCGTATGCCACGCAACCAAACACCCTAAAATGTGAGACAGATGGGGAAGCACTAGTCCACAGCTCTTGTGGTGTTTTTCCAACATTTGCAACTGTGGGACACCTGGTTAGGACATGAGTTTTCCAATTTACAACTTCTGACAGAATGCAGTTGGTATCTGGGTGTCTTTCAACATGTATCTTACCATATTCATGGTAGTTCTGTTCTTTCTCTCAGCCACCCCATTTTGTTGGGGAGTCAAGGCTGCTGTGAGTTGCCTCTTCATGCCAGATTCAACACATAAGGACTGAAATTCAGTCAACAAGAATCCTCCTCCCCTATATTTTCTAAGACATAGAATGGATAGGCATGTTTCCTTTTCAACTTGAACCATGAACTTCTTAAATAATTCCAGTGCTTCAGACTTAGTAGCTAGAAAGAAAACCCATAATTTTCTACTAAAGTCATCAATCAAGGTAAAAATGTACCTTTTACCCCCATTGGAGGTTGGAGTAATGGATTGGGGCCACATAGATATGCATGAATCAGTTAGAGTTTCTGAGTTGCCCTTCATTGACTATGCTTAGGAAATACTTGTCTGGCTTGCTTTCCAACCTGAGAGGTGGAGCAGATCCCTACTGTCCCTTTCAGCTCAGGAATGCCTGTGATAAAACCCTTATGTTAAACTTGCAGCAGGCCTTGAGGGTTCAAATGACCAAACCTTCATTGCCAAAGAGTGAGTGTAGTGTCCTTGGCACTTTTATTTTGCAGTCAGTGAACTTGAGCCTTGTGTGATTCATCCTTCAGGACAAACATCCTGTTGGACCTCATTGTGC